TTAATTTCTAAGTGCTTGTGAGGACTGAACCCATTTTCCTATATTGTTAGCTCATTTATTTCTTATCAAACATTACTGTGAGGTAGACTTGTGGAGATGGTTTAAAGGCTAATTTATCTACAAACCCTTAAGACCAAGGCTACTTCTGTCACAGGTCAGTCAGGAGATCCTAGAGCTATTAAATACAACAACAGCCAAGGAACAATCCATTGTTGAAAAGTTCCGCTCTCGAGGTCGGGCCCAGGTGCAAGAATTTTGTGACTATGGGACCAAGGAAGAGTGCATGAAAGCCAGTGACGCTGACCGGCCTTGTCGCAAGCTGCACTTCAGGTCTCTTGGGAGCGGATGAGGTGGGGAGGGTTTTCCAGAAACAGTAATTCCTTTTTAAATATATTCCGTCTGTCTTTGGGATGGCCATTGTGCGAGAAGGAATAGAGGCTCACTTTGTAAATAAAAGGAAGATTTTGCCAGGCGTTGGTGGCGCATGCCTTTAGTCCCAGCACTCGAGAGGCAGAGGCAGATGGATCTCTGTGAGTTCCAGACCAGTATGGTCTACAAGAGCTAGTTTCACGACATCCTCCAAAACCACAGAGAAACCCTGTCTCGAAAAACAAAAAATAGATAAATAAAAGGAAGATTTCTAGTCAGGCATCTGTGTCTATAGCCATTAAGAAAAGTTAAAAGTTCTCTGGAAGGAGGATAGTCCTAGAGAAACCACCTGGGCTTAGGGACAGTGTTTATTCTGATGTAACAGTCAAGGCCTCTCCTGGACTATATTCTTTCCTGTAGTAGAGAAGACAGTCTGTACTTTGTTGTTTCTGAGACATGGTTTTTGTAGCTCGGGTTGGCCAGGACAAGATGCCTTTTCTGACCTTAGGGCTCTACTTTAACCAGTGCTGGGATTATAGGCCTAAGCCACTGTCACGTCAGCCATGCGGCCTGTGTCCGAGAACGTGCGGAGGGTGTCAGGGATTGACAACACAGAGACTCGTTCAATGATGTAAAGAAAACTTTAAGCAGGCCCCAGAAAGGTTCAAGAAAACTTCCTAAGAAAGGCTCCCTCCAGAGAAGCTTCTGCTCTCTCCTCTACCCTGGCTGATTCTGCTCTGACACCAAAAACTGATCTGGGTGTGTCAGAAGAGGCGGTTAGTCTTACGACAAGGTCGAGGTCAGGGTGGTTTCTGTGGGCAGGCCTTTTCCAGGAACTTATTGCCCCGGGCATTGTATTGTTTTTAGTAAACATTGTCTTACAGCTGCATACTCCCAGGCAGAAGGGGAAGTGGGTCTCTGCTCAAGGTCTGGTGTCCCCACAAGCTACTGCACCGTCTTTATTCAAGAGAAGAACTAGTTCTTTAATTTAACAATACAGAAAATTGGGGGAGAATAAGAAACCTTGCGTTTGAATATATGATCTACTTCTGAAGTGCCATCTTGATTCTGATCCCTCTTTATTTTCCCAGACGGATTATCAATAAGCACACTGATGAGTCTCTAGGTGATTGCTCTTTCCTTAACACATGTTTCCACATGGATACCTGCAAATATGTTCACTATGAAATTGATGCTTGCATGGATTCTGAGGGTCCCGGCAGCAAGGAACATACGCCCAGCCAGGAGCTTGCTCTTACGCAGAGTGTTGGGGGTGATTCCAGTGCAGATCGACTCTTTCCACCTCAGGTACCTACATGTCTGGACAGCCTGGGAGAACCCATTTCAGCCTATAGACTTAAACTGAATGGGGTATCCATACATGTGGAAAACTAGGGACTAATTTAGCAGTCTGGCTCACTGATGGGAATGGAGTGGGATAGGAACACTTGAGTTAGAGGGTTTGGGACCATCAATCTGTGAAGGAAGGAGAGATGACCAAATACTACCTCATGCAGTGGATCTGTTGTGATATCCGCTACCTGGACGTCAGTATCTTGGGCAAATTTGCAGTTGTGATGGCTGACCCACCTTGGGATATTCACATGGAACTACCATATGGGACCTTAACAGATGATGAGATGCGCAGGCTCAATATACCAGTACTGCAGGATGATGGCTTTCTTTTCCTCTGGGTCACAGGCAGGTAATACAATCCACAGATGTGTAGGTATGGGCAAATATAGTGCAGACTGAAAACTGGGTGGGAAATAAAGTTCTGGGTTTTCAATTAAATGTTACTGATTAAGGATGCCTCCCTCCTGTGGGGCTGGGTTTTCTCAGGCCTGCGACTAAAATGTCACTGATTTAGGATGCCAACTCACTTCCATGGGGCTTAATATTTATAGCACAAATACTTGGGATTCTTGATTTTAGAAAAATAAAGTCATTTAGATTAGATGTCGTTTAATTTTTTCATTAAAGATTTATTTGGGGGCTGGAGAGAAGGCTCAGCTGTTAAAGGAAGATTTATTCGGTTGCCCCAAAGGTGTCTTCCAGGCAAATGTTTCTGATGTTTCTAATACATGAGATATTCTGAAGGGAAAAATATGGGCAGACAAGTTGCTTAACCCTTACATCTTTCTAGGGCCATGGAATTGGGCAGAGAGTGTCTGAACCTCTGGGGGTAAGTAGAAATCGTGTTGCACTTTTCTTGAGGGAAAGTTAACTTTGGTTGTAAGAGATGCATGTTCCCTGCTCTCAGTATCAGCCTCTGCCTTTGTGTTTTTGCACTGTGCCTCAACTGTGAGGCCAGTTACAGCTCTAGTTGTCTCTTACGTTCCATAGTTATGAACGGGTGGATGAGATCATCTGGGTGAAGACTAATCAACTGCAGCGCATCATTAGGACAGGCCGAACAGGTCACTGGTTAAACCACGGAAAGGAACACTGCTTGGTGAGTAACATTAGGCCCAACTTAGAAGACCTGTTTAAGAGTCCAAAAGCTGTGGTTTCATAAAGTAACAATGTTCTCTGTGATGAGCAGGTTGGTGTCAAAGGAAATCCCCAAGGCTTCAACCAGGGTCTGGATTGTGATGTGATTGTAGCAGAGGTATGTGTCTCCCAGGCATCTAAGCGTTCATATTTCCAATGCAATTACTCCTGTCAGGTATAGTCTCCAACTTTATTCATTTGGATACTTACAAACAGGGCTAGAATTGCAACCCTGAGAAAAACTTTGAAAAATTTATTTTCACCTCATGTGCATCAGTGTTTTGCCTGCAAATAATTTTTGTGAGGGTGTCGGATCCCCTGGAACTAGAGTTACAGATACTTCTGCCATGAGGATACTGGGAATTGAACCCAGGTCCCCTGGAAGAACAACCAGTGCTTTTTAACTGCTGAGCTATCTTTCCAGCTCTGCAATCTTAAACAACTTTAAGTAGCTTGGCTTTTGTTTTCTAGGTTCGTTCCACCAGTCATAAACCAGATGAAATATATGGCATGATTGAGAGATTGTCCCCTGGCACCCGCAAGATTGAGTTATTTGGACGACCACACAATGTGCAACCCAACTGGTAAGTCACTAGAGAGCAGGGCAGAACGGTGTAGCCAAGGACAGAAGTCAATGAGTTGTTTTTGGTAGTTAAGTCTACAGACAGGCTTAAGCTCATGTTTAGATCATTTTACTGCAATCGACACCATTCACTAGACTCCAAAGGGCTGTTCTTAAAGTTATAACAGCTTAAGGATCCTCAACTATTCTATGGGATACATTAAATATACCCCCTAGTGGCTACTAAGCATTTAATCTGCCAATTTTAATGCTTTTGACTCAGATGGCTGGCATTTTAATTGTCCAAAGATTATTCATTGGCAGTGACTATGAATGAAATATGCCTGGCTAACCTCAGTTACTAATCCTCAAGTGAACAGATCTGTTGGATCCTTTGACATGCGTCTGAGGCAGAAAGATTACAAGCTTAAGGCTTCCCTAGGCTACATAATGAATGTAATTTAGTGAGATCTGTATCAAAAGGGGTGAGGCTATTGGCTGATATAGCTCAGTGTTAGAGCATATATAAGGCCCCCAGATTCAATCTTCACCACCACCACCAAAGAAATAAAAATCCTGCCAGGCCGGGCATTGGTGGTGCACGCCTTTAATCCCAGCACTCGGGAAGCAGAGGCAAGCGGATCTCTGTGAGTTCGAGGCCAGCTTGATCTACAGAGAGAGTTCCAGGACACCCTCTAAAACAATACAGAAACCCTGTCTCAAAACAAACCACAAAAAAAAAAAAAAAAAAAAAACGCTGCCAGTTTTATTATCTGCATTCACACCACCTCCTAAGTGGTCACACTGCCATATACTTTAGTATAAACTGACATGGGCTGGGCACAATAGAGCACATCTTTAGCCCCAGCACCTGGGAGGCAGAAGCAGCAGATCTGTACGGGTTCAAGGTTAGCCTGGTCTACATAGAGAGTTCCAGAACAGCCTGAAAGACTTAAACAAAACTTGGCATGAGCAGCACTAAAAGCCTTACAGGATTTTTTGGTTTGCCTCCTCTTTCCCCTTTGTTTTAGGATTACTCTTGGAAACCAACTGGATGGGATTCACCTACTAGACCCAGATGTGGTTGCCCGGTTTAAGCAAAGGTATCCGGATGGTGTCATCTCTAAACCTAAGAATTTATAGAAGCACTTCCTTATAAGAGCCATGGCTCTGCAGGTGCTCCCACCCCATATTTAAATAAAATTTTATTCTAATTGGGATTTTTGAAGTGGAATTTTGGCTTTACCATTTAGTATGTGTTCTCTCAGTATGATTCATTCTCAGTAAAGGGAATGTTCAAATTAAATGGATATATTGAATAGCATTAACATGTGGTCATTATAAAATAGGACTACACGGGTTCGTAGTACTTAGCAATTAGCACACCATGAATAGGGTTAGTCTGAATTTCACTTAGTTTTACAGGCATATGTTTGCTTATTCTATGTGGCTTTACTGGTTTATTATTCTGTAGCTTATTTCTAAGAAAAATAAGATCATCTTCAGTTAAGGAAGAACCTAGAATATGAAAGAATTGGCTTATGCATTATGTAAATGAAAGCGCATTTAAAAGCTGTTTCATCACACACAACTTCTTTACTTTGTAAAACCTCTCATTAAAGATAGAGTTCTGCCTCTTACATGCAAAACTGGTAATCAAATCAGGTAAAGTAAGTTCTGACTGCCAAAATACATGTAGAGGAAAAAAAACAATAATCCAGCTAGGTGGCGGCAGCTCACGCCTTTAAGTCCCATCACTTGGGAGGCAGAAGCAGACAGATCTCTTGAGTTTCAAGGCCAGCCTGGTCTACAGAGCTAGTTCCAGGATAGCTAGGACTATTACATAGGGAAACCCTGTCTGGAGAAACAAACAAATATAAAAACAACAGTTCTTGAATGATGTCATTTCCCCTCCAGCCCAATGTGCTGAGAGAGAGAGACTGTGTGTGTGTGAGTGAATGAGTGAGTGAGATGGGGAAGGGACCTTAAGACAGGATCTCACTATGTAACCCTGGCTAGCTTCAAACTCCTCTACCTCCCAAGTGCTGGGACTAAAGGAGAGTGCAACCATACCCAGCCGCAGCCTCTGATTTTGAACAAGGTCTGTTATGTCCACCATCAGAGTACTGGGATTAAAGGCATGGGCCACCACATGTGCAAAGCCTTTCTTCCACCTTTGCCCATGCAGCTTGGATTGGCCTCAAACTCACTAGTGACCAAAACTGACCTTGACTCCTGGTCTTTCTGCCTGAGGGCTGAACTCAGTTTTGTTAGTGCTAGGCCATAACCCCAGCCCAACAAACCTTTGTTCTTAAAGCACTGTGTAGATTAATAATAGTAAGTTCCCTTTTTAAAGGGGGTATTTTAAGTCAGTGTTTTCATTCCTCTTTAATTTGGGATTTAAACCCAATGCACCTTACACTGAGCTGTAACCCTAAGCCTCTTATCTCAGTGCTGTTCTCCTCCTAGGGACAGAGCTAAGCACTTCACCAGGAACATCTTTAAACAAGTCCTATGAAAATTTTACCGACACATTTCTTCTAATAACCCTCTATGGTTTGCTTCCATTTTCCCTTCACCCTTCCCTGTGCTATAGATAGCCTGGTAATTTTGCTTGTAGTCAAGAGTGAAAAACAATTCCAAGTTACAGTAAATTCACTGGCCCTGCTACAGTCTGGCCTCTGCTGAAGGAAGAAAAGATGGGACATGAAGGACTATGGGTGCAAAGGTCAGGCACTACCAGAAGAGGCCCAGCTTGTGTTTCAGATACAGGCTCTCGGACTTGTGTCCCGCAGATGAATCTTCAAGGCTTGGAGAAACAGAAAGGCTACTTCACAAACACCACAGAGTTTGGATTTCTGGAGGCCACCCAGGCCAAGAATACATCCCTAAGAGAAAGAAAGATAACACAAACTTGTTATAGCATAGATATATTCCTTAACTATCTTTATCTTTTCAACAAAAAAGCATACCCAAATAATTCCCTCCATCTCCAAAATATATCATCATCTTAGTAAACACAGGAACAAAGAGCCTAAAAGTCAGAAGTAGTGATCCATCTCATAGAAGTCTAGAGATAGGACACATACACCCTTTTTCATGGATATAGGGCATTCCCTGGAATTACTACTGTAGGTAAGTAGTAAAACTACTCTCCTCACACTTAGCATTTACTGTGCTATTTTCCCCTTACCTATCCTTCACCAATTTCTTTGGCACTGGTAACTCATGCCAGGCAAGCTATCTTCAATTGAGCTACATGCCATACCCAAGAGACTGAACAAGGCTTTTTTCTAGTAGCATCTCCAATTGGATATCCATCTGCCCATCTACACATATCAAGCTGCTCTACCTGAGGTAGTGCGCCCCAACAGATGGCGTCACTCCTGCTTTAGCTGTAAGAACTGTTTGGCTCACCTGCAGTGTTTCACCACACACTCATTGCTGCAGTATTCGTTGTCCCAATCCTTACTGATAACAGGAGGGTTCTCACAACCAGACCTCACACATCGAGGCTGAGGTGACAGTGTCACAGGGGATCCACTCACTAACTCAACATCCATCTGAGAAGGAGACTCCACCTTAGAACCGGGAGCAAACAAGGATGGATTAGAGGGTGGCCTACCTGGTCAAAACATCTTACATACCAGTAGAGAAACAGGTATCATACCCCTCACATAAGGAGTTTGGGAAAAAGGTAAGTTCTTGGTCTTCTCCTTTATAACCAAGCTTTTTTTAGAGTTCTGCTAAGCAGAATGACATGTAGATTCTAAGAATTTTATTTTAAAATAACTTGTTATGAGTTAAACCTGGCATACAGAGGAAGGAGAATCAGATTCAGGACTCTTTGGTTACATAGTGAGTCTATGTATTCTGGTCTACAAACAAAAAACAACTGGCAGAACTGAATTTTTTATTTTTTCCCCCGAAGAAGCAATACAGGCTTACCTCAGGAACTACATCTGTGATCATTTCACAGATTGTCTCAGGAGAGGTTGCCTCCGCTGTGTGGGCCTCGGGGCTGCAGTTCACAGGCTGCTCAGGGCTGCTTTCCACAGCTGGAGGGATCAGGGCAGTCTGCATTTTCAGAGTGGGTGGAGGCACAACCTTACTCTGCAAAGGTGGTGGCTGCTGTTGTAAATTTATCCTAACTTTCTGAGGTGGAGGTTGTTGCATGGCCTGAAGTGGAGGAGGTTGCTGCAGAATGGTGACTTGCTGTTGAGTTGGGGGCTGAGGCATCTGTTGCAATGGAGGTGGCTGTAGTCGAGGTGGAGGCAGTTGCATAGAAGCAGCAGCAGCAGCTGCTGCCTGCAACACTGACCGAGTGACAATCTGGGCCTGTTGGCTGGGCTGAATAGTAGCTGTACTTGTCTGGCCTAATTGGAGCCCACGGGAGGTAACCACTGTAGCTGGGATAACAGTAACCATTCCTCCTTGAGACATGGTAATAGAAGAGGGCAACATTTGTTTGGTAATAATCAATTTGGTAATATTGGGCTGACCTCCAGCCCCTGAGGATGCCTGGTTTGCCACATAGGATGAAAGTGTGGAATTGACTACAATGCAAGGGGACAAAGCAGGTGACTCCGTTGAGGCTGGTGCTGGAGACGCTGGGTCAGCAGTAGTCACAGGAGGTGGTGAAGGAGTCTGTGACTGTGGGACGGGATCTAATTCCACTGTTTCCACAGTAGCCTAAAAGGCCAAGACAGAAAGGCAACAAGTAACTTACTCTCCACTACGGCACACATCCATTTTCATTACATTTCAAGAAAAGATAATAGAAAAATAAAGACCTTCAGTAAACACTGGAAATAATGGACAAACTCAAAAAAGACTATTTAGCAAGGCTTATGATACAAAATACTGGGGAAGCTCTCAGTCAATTTTAACATATTGTAATAATAGGTTCCACAGGGTTTTTTTATTTTATGTGTATGTGTGTTTACCTGTACATATGTGAACCATATGCATGTTTTGGGAGGTCAGAAAAGGACACGGGATCTTCAGGAACTAGAGTTAGAGATGGTCCTAAGCCACCATGTGAGTGCTGGGACTCAGATCCTTTGTAAGTACAGCCAGGGCCCTTCCACACATACGTGTGTGTGTGTGTGTGTGTGTGAGAGAGAGAGAGAGAGAGAGAGAGAGAGAGAGAGAGAGAGAGAGAGAGAGAGAGAGAGAGAGAGAGAGAGAGAGAGAGAGAGAGAGAGAGAGAGAGAGAGAGAGATTTACCTATAATAATTTTTAAAAAATGAATTGGTTTAGTTGGGCATTGGTGGCTCATGCCTTTAAACTAAGCACTTGGGAGGTAGAGGCAGGTGGATCTCTGTGAGTTTGAGGCCAGATTGGTATACAGAGTGAGTTCCAGGACAGCCTCCAAAGCTACAGAGAAACCAGGTCTCAAAAAAACAAAAAGAAAGAAAGAAAAAAAAAAGAAATTGGTTTAAGACATCCACTTATTGTCACCTTACCTGACACTCTTGGTTGTCTTTATAAGCAGCAAGTGCCTTGAGATACTCTTTCTTGGCAGCTTCAGTTTTCCGCTTATACACCTATGAGAAAGAAAGACACTGTTTGAAATGACCATATTCCTAGGAGAAACTGACAGTCTATTATTGTCCATCAGGAACTCAGTCCAACCAGGGACCACTCCGTTCAGTGAAAACACTTGCGTAAGCAATGACAACCTTTATGGCAAATGACTCTACTGTCTTACTAGAATACCTATACTTCTTAAGTCAACAGCAATCCATGTTCATTGCTGTATCAAAAATAAAACCACCACCAAATTGTAGGATGAGTAGTCTACATCGTCCAATGCTGCCCACTTCACAACCTCTCCCCTAGGAATGTGCTAGGCTGTCAGACTCCTTCCCGCTTGTGCGCCCTTCTCCCACAAAAGCTGAAGGCTATTTCCTCTTCTACTAAATCTAGGCTCTCTCTCTGTGACTTGTTTCATCATTACAGTGTACCACACTACTTACAACATGAGACGCCAACTAACAGATGTGGCAACAGCCAGCTCCTGCCACCATATCCTCTCATTTTGTTACAACAGGAAGAAATCCAGGCAAGAACAGCAGAGACACCAAACCATCCCAAAAGGGTGAGGGTGAGAATTAGAGTAGCAACAGACAGCTAGCCTCTGAAATTCGTGACTCTGGTGCAGGATGCGTATACCAATATTACCAGCTGATTGTTTAAATTCAGCTTTCAAGTTTACATCTCATAAGAAGACTGTTAATGAAAGTGTAACTGAAACTTTGAGGGACAGTTTTTTTTTTTTTTTTTTTTTTTGGTTTTTCGAGGCAGGGTTTCTCTGTATTGTTTTGGAGGCTTTCCTGGAACTCACTTTGTAGACCAGGATGGCCTCGAACTCACAGAGATCCGCCTGCCTCTGCCTCCCGAGTGCTGGGATTAAAGGCGTGCGCCACCAACGCCCGGCTTGAGGGACAGTTTTAACATGCAACTTACCAAGACATAGCTTAACTTTACAAATAGGAAAAAATACCAGGCTTTAGAAAGTTAACCTAAAAACTAAACAGTTGAAGACACAAGGGATTAATTAGGCACTATTATTAGATGTTACATGGAAAGTTGAAATAAGGAAACTAGACTATCCCAACCTTATCATTTAGAAGGTTTATGACCTTAACTGGGCAGTGAACCTGAGTCCCATCTTTAGTGTTGTGTTGTCTTTTGAGACAGGGTTTCTCTGTGTAACAGCCCTGGCTGTCCTGGAACTCACTCTGTAAACCAGGCTGTCTCTGCCTCCCCAGTGTTGGGATTAAAGACATGAGCCATCACACCTGCAGAGTCTATCTTTAGTAAAGAGAGTATGATGGTTATTTTACAGTTTAGGAAAGATGCAGTGCTTTTATAAGTTGCTGTCAGTTATTTATTTTGTGTGTGCATGTGGAGAGTAGAGGACAGCTTGTAGAAGTTAGTTCTTCCCATCCACCATGAGGGAGCTGGGGCTCAAGCCCAATGAGCCATCTTGCAGTTCCACTTATAGTCTGTTAATGGATTTTTCTGGGCTGGAGATTTAGCTCAGTAGGAGAGCATGGATGGATAAGTAGGAGAACTGAGTCAAGCATAAAAACTTGGGTTTGCTACCTAGTGCCACAAAAATAACTAAATTAAAATCATTTTGGGGGGGGCATCACCATCCCTGACTTCAAGCTCTACTATAGAGCTATAGTAATAAAAACAGCTTGGTATTGGCATAAAAACAGGTGGATCAATGTAATCGAATCAAAGACCCTGATTCTGGGAAATGTAGTGAAGGGAGTCATCGCCATGTGATTGCTGGGAAGAGGGGACGCAAGTCTGCGTTCTTGGTTAGATAAGACCTTATAAAAATATGTATTAGTAATTATGGGCCAATAATTAAGTCAGAGCTAGCCAATGAAAAACAATAGCAAGTGGCCAACAGATTCATAATTAATATAGCCTCCTGTGTGTTCATTTGGGACTGACGCAGCTCTGGAACCAGGCTGGCGAGAAGACTACACGTTACACTCCGCCATTGCTGGTGGGAATGCAAACTTGTACAGTCACTGTGGAAATCAGTATGGCGATTTCTCAGAAAATTAGGGATCAACCTACCTCAAGACCCTGCAATACCACTGTTGGGTATATATCCAAAGGAGGCACATTCACACCACAAGGACATTTGCTCAGCTATGTTCATAGCAACATTATTTGTAACAGCCAGATCTTGGAAACAATCTAGATGTCCCTCAACTGAAGAATGGATAAAGAAAATGTGGTATATTTACACAATGGAGTACTACTCAGTGGAAACAATAACATCCTAAAATTTGCTGGCAAATGGACAGAACTAGAAAAAAACATTCTAAGTGAGGTAATCCAAAATCAGAAAAAAACAAATACAGTATGTGCTCACTCATAAGTGGATACCAGACATAAAGCAAAAGATACCCAGTCTACAATCCATAACCCCAGAGAAGTATGAACCCTCTTCCATAAACACAGGAAGCAGATGCAGAAATCCACAACTAACCAATGGGACAAGCTCCTGGAGTACAATCCAAGTGAGGGAGGAGCGATAATATGAATAAAGGAGTCAAGACCATGATCAGGAAACCCACAGAATCTGCTGACCCCAGCCAGTGAGAGACCACTGACTCAAGTCTGACAAATGGGAACCTGCAAAAACCAAACTAGACTCCCTTAACATAGGTGACAGTAAGGCCACTAGCAGTGGCTCCAAGATAATGCACAAACTGACTAAGTGGAGCCCATTCTACATGGAGAGATACCTTGTTCAGCCTACACACAAGGATGTCAGGGTGGAGAGGTGCCTTGTTCCTGCCTCAAAAAGATGATGGAACAGACTCAGCAGCCTTCCTAGGGGAGGCCTTACTCTCTCCATGGAGCAGATGGGAGCATGTGGGGAGTAGGGAGGAGCAGAAGAGAAAGGGGGAACTGGGATTGGAATGTAAAAAATAAGAAAAATTGCAGTAAAAAATGATTTTTTCTGTAACTTATAAAGATGTGTGATCGCCATTAACAAAGAGCTGACAGGTAAAGACCCATAGAAGCACGAATAAGAATGGCCCCCATGGGTTCATGTATTTGAATACTTGGTCATTAGTAGTGGTACTGTCTGAGAAGGATTAAGAGGTATGGCCTTCTTGGAAGGTGTGTGTCACTGGGTTGGCTTTGAGGTTTCAAAAGTTCAAGCCAGGTCCAGTGTTGCTCTCTTCCTGCAGATCTGGATGTAGAATTCTCCGCTACTTCTCCAGCAATGTCTACCTGTTTGCTGCCATGCTCGCCATCATGATGATGATACGGAACTAACCCTATGAAACTGCAAGCAAGCTCCAATTAAACGCTTTCCTCTACAAGAGTTCTGTGGTCATGGTGTCTCTTCACAGCAACAGAACACTAAGACTCTGTCCAGTTAAACCTTACAGTGTCTCTACCACTATTCACCTGTTTTTGCTCTTCTCCAAGACTGTCCCACATGGAAGCCACAATCTTCGAAACCTCACCAAAGGTAGCATTAGGGTTCTGGCCCTTGATGGCAGCCTGAGTATCACGAAAGAATAATGCATAGGCAGAGACTGGCTTCTGAGGTTCATTAGGGTCTTTCTTTTTTCTCTTCTTGGGAGCCTTTTGCTTTTTCCCTGTTTCCACTACCACTGTCTTCTGACTGGGAAGTTGCTGTTAAGAGAGAAAAAACGAGAGAATTAAGAAAAGGGTTTTAACAGGAACAAAACTAGGCTGGAGAGATGGCTCAGCACATAAGGAGGGAAAGTAGCCACAGCCATAGCCATAGCATTTAAGCTAAAAATCAGAAGCAATATATGAAAGCCACATGTGAGGCTCACTAAGAACAGTGATTGAGACGAGGTAGGAACCCACACCCAGAACCAAGTAAAGATGATTAGGCTTTTATGACACGCGTTTTACCCTGGAATAACAGTAGAATTAATTTTGGCAGGGAATGCCTCACCCTCCGGAAGTCTTCGACACCATCCTCATGAAGTGAATTGGTAGGTGAAGGAGTAGTCGAAAGACGATCCTCAGGTGACTGGGCAGGTGGCAAGATGGTGCTACCTCCTAAACTCAAACCAAGCTGAGAACTCAGTTCTGACTGATCAATAGTGGTCAACTGGCTATGTCCCATTAAGCCAGATGTCATGTCTGTCATTGGTACATCAATTGTAACAGGTGGGTTGGCACTATACTGAGTTCCTATAGAATGGTCCAGGTCCTGAGAGAAGCAGAAATTTTAAAATTATCATTTTATATTTCTATGTTTTGCTTTTCAAAATATAAAAGAGTCAACTTAGATTTTGCTAAATGACCAGACAACCATTTCCTACCAAGTACCCAAAGTGCAAACTTTCTTTAACAGTATTTTAGGTACATTTGACCACATCTGACATAAAAATGTGACTAACACCAAACATTAAAATACCAACTCCCCCTCCTTAGAAATCCCTGGCTTATGTAGACCATCATCATTTAAATCCTATAGAACATCAGATAATCTGTCTACATAAAAAAACACATTAGGAGACCAGAATGGTGGCACCATTTCAACACTCACGAGACAAGAGGAAGGAGATAAAAATCTCTGTGAGTTAAGGCCAGCATGATCTACATGTGAGTTCTATGTCAGTCAGGACTTCATGTGAGACCCTGTCTCAGAAAAGGACAAATAATCCACTTAGTATAATCTGTGGGTAGTGACAACATACAAGCAAACCCACTAGTATCTTCTACAATAATAGTGTTTAAAGTTGTAATGCGTACAGAGACGCTGCAGTGGAGACAGACGCCTGTCACCAGACACATGAGGTGGAGATGCAATATCAATGGTGTGCTGCAAATGCTGAACCCTTACAACAGCCGAGTCTATAATTAGGGCTTTATTTGGGTCAGCCCATTTTTTAATAAATCACTCAATGTGCCATTTACACATTTGAATTCCAGAATATGAAGGCTATTACAAAAAAAACGAGACCCTTTTAAGCCGGGTGATAGTGGTTCACGCCTTTAGTCCCAGAACTTGGGAGGCAGAGGCAGGAAGATCTCTGTGAGTTCGAGGTCAGTCTGGTCTACAAAGCTACACAGAGAAACTGTCTTGAAAAACCAAAAAACAAACAAAAACCCACTATGAATCACTTTCATTTCAAAATACCCAAGTTAACACTAGATATTTTACAAGAAAATCTCATTCATACAGGTAAAATGAGTTTTTGTTGTTGAGTCTTTAGCTTCTATAAGAATAAGAAATCAAGCACTATCCAAGTTTAGCAGGGAATAGAGATTAACTTTTGTCCTTCTAAACCCATTCCTATGAGTCTGGGTGAGTCTGTTACTGTGTCCTCCTTACCATAGTCAAGCCCCCACTCAGGAGGCCCCCACCCTGCTCCATCAAGCCGTGGGTCATGCCCACAGGCATGTCCAATGTCTGAACTCCATACTGAGCTGCAAAGCTGCCGTCCTGTGAAGAGGAGGGGTCTGCCAGGTCATCAAAGTGGCCAACCACATCTGAGACAGCCAGAGAGGGATCGGAATCCAAGGAGATAGGTGGGATTTCAAATTCCTCATCACCCAAGCTTGGAGTATGGAATGTCTGTGTGGAAAAAGGGAAAAAGAATTGGTAGGAAGAGGAGAAACTGTCCCTAAGACAGGCCATTGCTGAGCACAACAGTGTCAGTGTGCTTCTGTTTAGCTCTATCTCACTTTGTAACAGACTCCACAGAACACAGTTTATAAGTAAAACATCTTTTTAGCCTTTAAATCTTTGGTCACATGACACATCTGAGACTCCAACATCAATCATAATGTTCAATTATTTTCTCTTTTCAACCTTTACTATTTTTTTCTTTTTTGGTTTTGAGACAGGGTTTCTCTGTGTTGCTTTGGAGGTTGTCCTGGAACTCACTTTGTAGACCAGGCTGGCCTCCAACTCACAGAGATCTGCCTGCCTCTGCCTCCTGAGTGTTGGGATTAAAGGGTTTCTCTGTATTGTTTTAGAGGCTGGCCTTGAACTCACAGAGATCCGCCTGCCTCAGTCTCCCAAGTACGAGTATTCAGTTTAAAGGCGTGCGCCACCAACGCCTGGCCAACCTTTACTGCCTTTGTCTTAAATTATTTCTAAGGAATAGAGTCTTTCCATACAAGTAAGGAAACAGCCTATGGTGCTTAACATCCCACTTGACAGATACTAATAGACACTATTTATTTCACAATGTTATACTTGAATTTTCAGATCACAGAATTTAACTGTTGACCAGCCAGCCAATCACACTTTATTGTTTAAGGTTCCTCTGGATCAAATCCTATATGATACTGCCATAGAAAACTTACCTACCTCTAAAATATCTGTACTTAGCCAGGTGGTAGTGGCGATGGCACCCGTCTTTAATCCCAGCACTCGGGAGGCAGAGGCAGACAGATCTCTGTGAGTTCGAGGCCAGCCTGGTCTACAAAGCAAGTTCCAGGACAGGCTCCAAAGCTACATAGAGAAACTCTGTCTCAAATAATAAAAATTTAAAAAAAATACTGCACTTATGAGTTTTTTAAGACATCTTAAGTGGGCATGGTAGCACACACCTTTAATCCCAGCACTCAGAAGGCAGAGATAGGAGGGTCTCTGTAAATTCAAGGCCAGCCTGGTCTACAAAGCAAGTTCCAGGACAGCTAGGGCTACAGAGAAACCTTGTCTCTAAAAACAAAAACAACCCTCATTGTTTTAGAAATTTCAATGTTAACAAGATTCTCTTCTGTATAGGATTTGAAGGATTTGGGGTCCAATAATATCAAGAGAAAGGATAACAGCTACCAAGTTCGAAGCCAACCTAGCTTATATAGCAATACCTTGCCTAAAAAATAAAAGTCAACACAAGGATAAAAAGATTAGTGCACATGGCTCAGTTGACCCCTCTTAAGTCTGACTAACAATAATTAGTCTTCCAGTTTATTGTATTTTTTTCTCCCCCCTTTTCTTTCTTTCCTTCTTACCTTTCAAGACCTGGCAAGTCTCCTGACTGCTGTAATTAAAAGTGTGTACCACCACACCCAGCTTCACTCCTTCTATTGGGACTATGGGGTCACTAGTCACAGAACAGCATGCCTAACTTAAGATGTATTTGACAGTTTCCTTGTGGCACTAAAAAACTAAAACAGAAGCATTTGTAGCAATGAAGTATTATAAGTAATAAGTGAGAGGCTTTGTAGAAAGAGCTGTGCTCATCTCAGCTCATGACCTTAAGCAGGTTTTCCTTATCTATAAAAACAGAGACTGGATTCTGGCAAAGTGGTACACACCTGTAATCTCAGTGTGTAAGAGACTGAGCCACGGATAGTTACCATAACTGTCAGGTCAGGCTGGGTTATATAGTTAGTACCAGGCCATAAATCCAGTGAAAGACCCTATTTCAAGAAAACAAAAACAGGCTGTGTGTGGCCACATGGACCCTTCATCCTAGCACTCCAGAGCAGAGGAAATACAGTCTAAAGTGTTCCCAAGCTCTGGGCTTTTTGTGTGGGAAAGATCACTTTGGGGGCTATGTTTGCCCACTGGACAAATGAAGGTGCATGCTAGCGAGCCTAACTAACAACTTGAGTTCAATCCCTGGGCCCCAAAGGCAGAGGAAGAGAGCCCACTTCCTGCCTCTAACCCTTTTGGGAGAGCATGTGCGTGCATACGCCTGCAAGTACATGAGAGAGAGAGGAGGGAGGGAAAGGAAGAGAGAGAGAGAACTCACATAGTAAATGTGATGCAATCAAGATGAAAATAAAGGATGCTTAGGTGCTGAGTGGCGGAGGGCAGGAGAGGTGACTCAGCAGTTTGGGCATTTGCTGCTCCTGGGGCTCCGTTTTCAGCACCCACTCTGGTGGCTCCCAACCACCTTTAACACAGCTCCAGGGGCTCAAATGCCTTCTGTCCTCTGCATGCGCACACACATGAACTCAAATGACCTCGAGAAACAAACCAAACACGAAAACTACCATTTCCCGCCGCTTCTCATCCTCGCTCCATTTTCTATCATCTTTCATTTGCCCCGAGGCCTGAGCCCAGAGCCTACCACATACTAACCAAAAACTCTAAACTGATCCATATATCAACCATCCATGTTAAAAAAAAAAGTTTACTGGAGACAGAGAGATGGCTCAGAGGTTAAGAACACTGGCTGCTCTTCCAGAGGACCTAGGTTCTACTCCCAGCACCCACATGGTGGCTCCCAACTTTGTTTAGCTCCAGTCGCAGGGGATCTCATACCCTCTTCTGACCTCCAAGGACACCAAGTGTGTTGTGCACCGACATCCACGCAGGCACAACACCCACACATATAAACATTTCAATCAGGAAAATGTTCTTGTGTATTCATTTTAAAGAAATTGACCTTAACACCTAATTTATCCTATAATGTAGTTATTATGAACCCTTAAAGTCATGTTTAAAGCCAGAGACAGGCGGATCTCTGTGAGTTTGAGGACAGCCTGGTCTACAGAGCGAGTTCCAGGACAGTCCCCAAAGCTACGCAGAAATCCTGTCCTAAAAAAAATTTTTTTAAAAACAAACAACAGAATACAGGGCTGGAGCTGCCTCAGCAGTTGAGAGCACGGATTGCTCTTCCAGAGAACCTAGCAATTCCCAGGACACACACAGCTCACAGCTGTCTGTAACTCCAGCTCCAGGAGACCCTCACAGACATACATGCAGGCAAAACATCAATGCACATGAAACAATTAAAAAACAACAACAAAACACAGTATGCTGGGTGTGACAGTACACACTTCCAATCCCAGCACTTAGAAGAGTGGTCCTCAACCTTTCTAATGCTGTAACCCTTCAATACAGTTCCTCATGTAGTAGTGACCCCAACCATAAAATTGTTTTCTTTTTTCTTTTTTTTTTCTAAATATTTTATTTATTTATTGTGTATACAGCCTTCTGCCTGCATGCCAGCAGAGGGCACCAGATCTCATTCAAGGTGGTCATGAGCCACCATGTGGTTGCCGGGAATTGAACTCAGGACCTCTGGAAGAACAGTCAGTGCTCTTAACCGCTGAGCCATCTCTCCAGCCCCATAAAATTGTTTTCATTGCTACTCTGTAACTGTAATTTTGCTGTAAAAGGGTTGTTCAACCTCCAAAGGGGCCAAGACCCACAGGTTAAGAACCACTGAACTGGGAGGTAGAGACAGAAGGATTAGGAAAGTTAGCATCACCTTCAGCTACATGGGGAATTGGAGGCCAGCCTTGGCTTTATGAGACCCTATCTCATAAAAGCCAAACAATGAAACTGAAAAGAAAAATCTGATATAATAGAAAAAAATTTCAGACAGGACCCCATTATGTAGACTAGCTGGCCTGGAGAGCAGAAAACTGTCCCTGGGCCTCCTGAGTGCTGGGATTGAAGGGGGTGGTCAAATACAAAGCACCATGTAGGCCAACTCAACGGAGAGAAACAGAAGACTAAATTTTCACAGCACATACGCTTCCAATCTGAACCAGTGCAATACTACTACTCCTTTCTCTCTGACACTCATTCTTTTTTTTTTTTTTAAAGATTTATTTATTTGTTTAACATACAGTATTCTGCCTGCATGTATATCTGCAGGCCGAAGAGGGCACTAGGTCTCATTATAGATGGTTGTGAGCCACCATGTGGTTGCTGGGAATTGAACTCAGGATCTTTGGAAGAGCAGTCAGTGCTCTTAACCTCTGAGCCATCTCTCCAGCCCGACACTCATTCTTTTAAATGGAAATTCTTCATATACTTGGGGCAATTTGGATGGACTCTTTGTGAATTGACTGTTAAAGGTTCTGTTCATTTTTGGGGCTGGAAAGATGGCTCAGTGGTTAAGGGCACTGACTGCTCTTCCAGAGGACCTAGGTTCAATTCCCAGCACCCACATGGCAGCTCACAGCTGTAACTTCTGTTACATAAAGGCAAAACACCAATGCACATAAAATAAATTATATAAAAAAACAAACTTCTGTTCATTTTCAAGCTATACTAGCGCTTTGTAATTTCATACATGTAGTTACAATGATGTCTTTTCTGGGGAGGGGGGTTCTAAGACAAGAGTTTTTCTGTGTAACAGTTCTGGCTGTCCTGGAACTAACTCACTTTGAACATCGGGCTGGCCTTGAACACACAGAGAGCTGCTGCCTCTGCCTCAAAACGTGTTGGAGTTAAAGGCTTGTGCCATTACACCTTTTAAAACTTATTTTATATGTATGAGTATGTATCAGCACCACATGCCGTGTCTAGTGCTCACAGAGAAAGAAAAGGGAATCAGATCCCCTGGAACTGAAGTTATAGATGGCTGTGAACCACCATGTGCAGGCCGGAAATTAAACCTGGGTCCTCTGCAAGAACAACAAAGGATTTACATTTCTAAGCAATCTTTCACTTAAAAAAAAAAAGCAATACTTATTTTTACTTAAATGAATGAATGTTTTGCCTGCATGTATGCCTGTGTTCTATGTGTGCGCAGTGCCTAAGGAAGTCAGTAGAGGGAGTGGAAACTAGTTGTAGGCCTTCTGTCCTATCGTATGGGTGCTAGGACCTGAATCCAGGTCCTCTGTAACACCTGATCTGTCTCTCGCCCCTAGAATGATGCCTTTTGATATAAAGAGTTCCTAACTTGAACACAACCGAATTTTTCAATTATTTTATGGTTGGTATTCTACATGAGCAGCTATTGTTCTTTTTGAAAAAAAAAAAAAGAAAAAACAACTTGAAAAACTATCATTCTTCAAAAAAGAATTGCTTTAAAAAAAAGTACCCTTTTTTTAAGTTATCCACAAGGCTCAAAATAAGACCAAAGACAACAACACTCATACACCCATTAACATAAAGATTAAAAGCCAGGCATGGTGGTGTACAGACACTTTTAATGACAGCATTCAGGAAGAAGAGGCAGATAAAAAGCCAGCCTGGTCACATCAAGTTTGCCTCCAGTCAGGACTACATATAGTGAAACCAAACCATCCCCCCAAAACAAAAACAAAAAAACATAAAACCATACACGTTAAAAATTCACCACCACCAAAAGGGGTAGAAATAAAGTGTAAAAGTTGTAAATTAACAGGCCAAAGACAGTGTTGGTCTACACCTTTAATCCCAGCACTTTCGAGGCAGAGGCAGGCAGATCTAAGAGTCTGAGGCCAGCCTGGTCTACAGAGTGAGTTCCAGGACAGGCAGAGCTACAGAGAAACCCTGTCTCAAAACAAAACAAAAGTTGTAAATAATCAATAACAGTAACTAGACATAAAAGAAGCTACTGAAATTAGGCTTATAATTTAGTTGTGTGTCCGTCCCCTCCTCTCACTAAAAATGAAGGGCCGATGCAAGCCTGGAAATTTCCTTCCTTTTTCTGTCAGTGCTGGAGACCTAGGGTCTGGAACGCAGCAGGTACGAGCCCCACTACCTAGCCATAGTTCTCTGGATATAAAAGGTGCCATCTCTCATGCAACTGCCTTTTGACTATTCAACTTCATAAAAGGGGCTGGTGGGATGAATCTGAAAGCTGTGTTTACTTTTTTTTTTTTTTTGAGACAGAGTCTATGTAGCTCTAGCAGTCCTAGAGCTCACTATGTAGATCAGGCTGGCCTGAAACTCAAAAGAGATACACCTGCCTTTGCCTCCCAAAAGTGCTGGGATTAAAGGAGTCCAAACACTACATCCAGCCTTGTATTTACTTTTAAAATGCATTTTCCCATGAATAAGGACAATGTGAGATTTCGGGTACTTCAAACAATAAAATTAAACCATCGAGACCTCACTTAAAGGAACAAGTGCAAGACTGAGTTTCTTTCCACTTCTGCCACTCATTAGAGTCACACTTTCCCTTGCTTAGGAGAATGTTCAATCACTGTAAATTAGAAAATAAACTAGTAGCTTGCTAGATGACAGATGCCTTTAATCCCAGCACTTGGGAGGCAGAGATGGGCAGATCTCCAACTGCAAGGCCACCATCAATCTATCTCTTAACCATGAAAACATTAGGATTTATTATAGGGCAAGCCCACAAAACAGTAATTAATAACTTTTGGTACTAGAAAGAAAGAAATGCAAATGATTCACATTGCTTTGGGGGAGGGCATATAATCCTCAAAGAAAGTTCAAGGTTCAAGTTCTCAAAAAAGAGGAAATCTCTAAACTACACCTTTTATTTTGCCTAAATAAGTGTTATGCTTATAGTAGGAAAATTTGCCAACCTTCCTAATGCTGCGACCCTTTCAATACAGTTCCTCATGTTGAGGTGACCCCTAATTATAAAATTATATTGTTGCTACTTCACAACAGCAATTTTGCAACTGTTATGAATCATAATGCAAATATCTGCTTTGCAACCCCTGTGAAAGGGTCACTCGACTCCCAAGGGTTCGTGAGCCACCGGTTGAGAATCGCTGTCTTACAGTCTCCAACAACCATTATTTCTACTTCACACCATCTTTAAAAAGCAAAACAAGCCAGTGTCATATCTCTGCGAGTTCTAGGCCAGTCTTGTCTACAGAGCGAGTGCCAGGCTGGCCTCCAAAGCTACACAGAGCAACCCTGGCCCGAAAAACGAAACAAAAGAGTCAAAACAGAACAAACCTTATTATTATAGTTATTCGACAACTGTGATCCAAAAGTGAAGTAATCTGCTAAGTTTGTAATCACTGGCAAACAGGTATACTCTACCCTTTCTATAATATATTCTCCGGCAGAAACCACGTTGGTGAGAAAGTAACCACTTTTATCAGGAATTCCAAATTAAAAAAAAAAAATCACCACAGAGTTCAAGACTTAACACCTGTCCGAAGTTAACCCCTGCTACATAAACTACTTTCTTATCAGGTTTTCTTTACTGAAAACAAATTTCTTCCTTGCCATCTCCCAAGATTGTCGCCACAACTTCACCCGAACCAAGGCAGACAATCCCGCTCGCTCCCCGCACTCAGAGCCCGACTCCTTCCTTAAACAGGCGGTCTCTTCGACATCCTGGCTTCCGGATGACAGCCGCTTCCCGTTGGTCCCCGCACCCCGCCCGCGACAGTCCGCAGAGGCTCTCGAAGCCACGGCCGCTGGGCTCCCCAGCTCCCGTCCGCCCCCGCGCTCTCCCCCGCCGTCCGGCCCCAACCGCTCGCTGCCTAGGCCCTCCCCGCGCCCCAGCGTCGGCCGCTTCTGCTCACCTCGGCCCCTGACAGGAAGGGATGCGAGGGCCCAGTGATGGTCAGGTAATTGTCATTCCCTCCGGGAAACTGTAAACCGAAACGAAAAAGAAAGAAAGAGAAATCTAAGTGAGCCAAGCAGGGGCGCGCGGGCACCCCGGGCCTCCCAGCGCTCCCGGGCGCCCCTCGCTCCCCGCTGCCCGCTTCTGCTTCCATCTAGCCGGCCGCGCTGCTCGTCACCCCGCCGAGGGAGCCGGCGCCCTACCTCCATCTTCCCAGCACCACGACCAGGGACTCAGCGTCCCCGCGTCCGCATCGCTCCCACCGGCCCCGCTGGGTTCCGAGAGCGTCACTTCCTCGAGCAGGAGCGTCGCTCTCCGCTGATTGGACGGGGTCCTGGCCGCTCCAGTCGCGGAGTCGAGCTGCCCGAGGGCTCGCTGCCGCCCCCCTGGAGCTTGGTGGGATAATGGCATGTGGAAGAGCGCGGGGCGGCCCTGGAGGCGGCGTCGGGTACTCGGGATTCAGCGAGGATTTCTGGGGAGAGCAATAGAGACGCGGCCTGAGCTAGAAGGGCTGGAGCGGAGGCAAAAAAATAAGGAGATCGGTGGATCGAGTGGCTAGAGAGGTCGGAGGTAAGTGGCTGTAGGCATCAGGCGGACCCGGAACACAGACGCCTCGGGACCATGACTTACGCGTACCTCTTCAAGTACATCATCATCGGAGACACAGGTAACCCGCCGGAGGACCGCCTTCGGGGCCGGGGCGGGGGATCCCACCTCCGAAATCGGCCTGGGGGCGGGGCGGGGCGAGGGGGCCGGGCGGGCGGAGTTGAGCGGAGGGGGCGGGGCGAACCCCGGGGGCGGGGCTCTGTCTTTTCCTTAGCCCCTGGACCCCGGCTGCGAGCCCGCGGCCTCCCGGGCGGCGTGTCTACCCCGCGCCGTGTCTTTTTCAGGTGTGGGGAAGTCATGTCTCCTCCTGCAGTTCACCGATAAGCGGTTCCAGCCTGTGCACGACCTCACAATAGGTAAGCGCACCCCCTCGTTCCAGAACAGATAAAAGCTGGCTGGCTGAACTGCTAAAGGAGGAAGTTAACAGTCTCAGTATTCTACGTGGAAAGTTACGCCTCCCTACCTTAGTCCTAAGCCACGGTATATGAAAAAGTGATAAAAGCTGGTAAATAGAGGGCAAATGATTGGAAGGTGACTTGAGAGATGGATGTGAGAGAAACACTAGTTGCCATTGGAACTTTTCTTCAAATGCAACGTGTATGCTTCTGGGGGAAAAAAAATCCCGCGAAAACACAACTGCTTATTCAGAATCTCATCTGTAGTTTGTGGTTAACTACCAACCTCACATGTTTTTCGAAGTGAACACCGATCCTATTACAGAGGGTCGTGAGCCGCCATATGGGTGCTGGGAATTGAACTCAGGACCTCTGGAAGAGCAGTGAAGTGCTCTTAACCTCTGAGCCACCTCTCTAGCCCCAATGTTTTAGTTTCTTACTCATTGAAATTACATTCTTTTCTGAAAGAAAGAAAATTGACTGATTTTTCCCCAAAAGTAGCTTTTGATTTTTATTGAGGTAATAGGCAGAAGCAATTTTTATATATTTCTTATAGATTGTAGCACCTTAAAGTATAAATATTCTATATAGGGAGAGGATATCTACATAGGGTGACTGAATTGGTGTTATAGCATTCCCGAAGGTAAACTAGATCAGTAATCTTGAAAATCTGAATTCCTTGTGCTTTGTGCAAAATACTGTATGAAACTAGAAAATGGGAGGAATCGTCTGACTTATGATGCAATGATTTTAACACCACTGTTTTTGAAATACTGTCCTAGAGATGAATTTTACCTTGAAGAGAAGAATGCCAAAAGCCTTATCAGTTTGTCAGTTTCCTTGCTGCTTTAGAGATAGGCCATTTCTGGTGAACTCTGGGAGTTACTGGTGGTTTAAGATCTCTTGTCCTTCAGGACCTGTTTCTTAGGCTACTTTCTCCCTTTCTTTTCCTTCCTTCCTTCCTCCCCCTCTTTCTTTCTCTCTCTCTCTTTCTTTCTTTCTTTTGGGGTTTTTCAAGACAGGGTTCCTCTCTCTTGGTGGTCCCAGAACTTGCTCTGTAGACCAGACTGGCCTTGAACTCACAGAGATCCGCCTGCCTCTAGGCAACTTTCTTAGTTGCAAATAAAAATAGTTTCAGAATTAACAGTAAAGAAACCCTGCTTCACACACAGAACCATTGGGCACTCTGAGACTCTGCCAAGAAAGTCTTTCAGGGAGGCTGGAGAGATGACTCACTCGGCAGGTAGGCACACTGGCTGCTCTTCTGGGTTTCAATTGCCAGCACCCAAGTGGCAGCTCATAACCATCTGTCACTCCAGTCCCAGAGGACTCTGTTGCCCTCTTCTGGCCTCCACAAGTACCAGACACATATGTAGCACACATACTTACATGCAGGCAAAACACTTATGCATAAGATTTTTATTTGTTTGTTTGTTTGTTTATTTTTGGTTTTTCCAGACAGGGTTTCTCTGTGGCTTTGGAGGCTGTCCTGGAACTCGCTCTTGCAGACCAGACTGACCACAAACTCACAGAGATCTGCCTTTCTCTAACTCCCAAGTGCTGGGATTAAAGGCATGTACCACCGCTGCCCGGCTGCATAAAATTTTAAAAGCCTTAAAAAAAAAAAAAAAGGAAATACTGGACTGGAGAGATGGCTCAGAGGTTAAGAATACTGGCTGCACTTCTAGAGGTCTTGGGTTCAATTCCCAGCAACCACATGGTGACTCACAACCATCTATAGTGAGACAACCATCTATAGTGAGATATGGCGCCCTCTTCTGGTGCACAGACATACATGCAGGCAGAACATTGTGTATAATAAATCTTAAAAAAAAGAAAAAAAGAAGGAGCCAGGCGTTGGTGGCGCACGCCTTTAATCCCAGCACTCGGGAGGCAGAGGCAGGTGGATCTCTGTGAGTTCGAGGCCAGCCTGGTCTACAGAGGGAGTTCCAGGACAGCCTCCAAAGCAACACAGAGAAACCCTGTCTCGAAAAAAAAAAAAAAAAAAAAAAAAGAAGGAAATACTTTCAAACAGTTTAGAAGTTCTTTGAATTAAATATTACATGGTCAGATTTCAGTATACACTAACATTCCTAAGAATTTATCCACCTCTTGGGGGCGCAAATAAGAGGAATAAACATCTATAATGACATCTGGTGCCCTCTTCTGGTGTGCAGGCATACATGCAGGCAAAACACTACACATAATAAAATTTTTTAAAGATTTATTTATTTTATGTGTGTTGGTGTTTTGCCCACATACATGTCTGTGCGAGGGTGCTGGATCTCCTGGAACTGGAGTTACAGACGGTTGTGAGCTGCCGTGTGGATGCAGGGAATTGAACCCCAGGCCCCTGAAAGAGCAGCCAGTGCTCTTGACTGCTCAGCTGTCTCTCCAGCCTCAAATAAATGAATCTTTAAAAAAAGAAAAGACAATCCCAGCACTCGGGAGGCACAGGCAGGCGGATCTCTGTGAGTTCGAGGCCAGCCTGGTCTACAGAGTGAGTTCCAGGACAGCCTCCAAAACAATACAGAGAAACCCTGTCTCGAAAAACCAAAAAAAAAAAAAAAAGAAAAAAGAAAAAAAAAAGAAAAGACACCGTGAGTTCAAGACCAGCCTGGTCTACAGAGTGAGTTCCAGGACAGCCTCCAAAGCCACAGAGAAACCCTGTCTCGAAAAACCAAAAGAAAGAAAGAAAGAAAAAAGAATTTGTCTGCCTTTTAGCTTTATTTTTTCCTAGAATTGTAAATTTTCTCAATTTTTTTCCTATGAACTGTAGCTTTCCAGTTAATTTAATGGAAACTGCTTATCACAAGACTTCCTTACAGTGGCTTTACATTCTCTCTTGTTTTTCATTGAGACAGGGTTTTTCTGTGTAGCTTTGACTCTCCTGGAACTTGCTTTGTAATAGGTACAAGTTCTTCAGACATTATTTGCAAATTGTTATAGTAACTGCTCTGGCTTTGATTTTTGGTTTTTTTGTTTGTTTGTTCGTTTGTTTGTTTGGTTGGTTGGTTGGTGTTTCTGAAACAGGGTTTCTCTGTACAACAGTCTTGCCTGTCCTGGAACTCACTTTGTAGATCAGGCTGGCCTAGAACTCACTAAGATCTGCCTGGCTTTGCCTCCCAAGAGATGAGGCACCACCTCCACCCAACATCTGTCACTTTTCTTAAGGCTAATAAAAGATAATCTAGAATCTTAGATATTATTATAAGGTCTTATAATAAATCAACTGATTTTGTTAGTTTATCACCAGAATTTGTAAAACCAGACCTAGGGAAAGAACTATCCCTGGGGGCACACTCGTGGAACTTCCACCCCCTTCAGATTTATTCATTTTTATTTATATATATATATATGGGTATCTATTTGCACATGTGTGTACAGGTGTCTGCAGGGTCTAGAAATTGTTGAGTTCCTTGGAGCTGGAGTTATAGGTGGTTGAGAGCCAAACTCTGGTTCTCTCCAAGAGCAGCCAGTGCTCTTAACCACTGAGCCATCTCTCCAGCCTTTTTTTTTTTTTTAGATTTATATATTTATTTTATATGCATTGATTTTTTAAATTATTTATTCATTTACAATTATACAGTTATTGTTTTTGGTTTTGGTTTTTTTTACGAGACAGGGTTTCTCTGGATTGTTTTGGAGGCTGTCGGTCCAGCCCAGCCTCGAACTCACAGAGATCCACCTGCCTCTGCCTCCGAGTGCTGGGATTAAAGGCGTGCGCCACCACCGCCCGGCTTATTTATTCATTTACAATTATACAGTGTTCTGCCTGCACACCAGCAGAGGGTACCAGATCTCATTACAGATGGTTGTGAGCCACCAAGTTGCTGGGGATTAACTCAGGATCTCTGGAAGAATAACCAATGCTCTTAATCTTGCCCTCCTCACCAGGGTCTTAATACAGTAAAATTTTCCCTGATTATAAAATCAGAACAGTGAGAATATTGGTATTTATTTGATTCTAGTTAGCTTTATTCCCTTATCTTCATTTGGGTATATTATCACTAAGAATCCACATATTTATTTTTAGTGCAAGGAATTAAACCAAGAGACTTACGTCTTTTGCAATTGTACTACCACTGTATTATACATACAGCTGTGGAATGTGATTTTTTTAACCTGTGCAGCCTTAGGCCAACCTTGAGTTTATTGTACAAGTGATGATAACCTTGAACTTCTGATCCTAGTGCTCCTACTGCCTCCACCTCTTGAGAGCTGGGATCTCGTGTTCGTGCATGCGTGCGTGTGTGTGTGTGTGTGTGTGTGTGTGTGTGTGTGTGTGTGTGTGTGTGTCCAGGAAAGGGATCCCTTGGAGCTGAAGCTATGGGCAGTTATGAGCTGCCTGACGAGGGTGTTGGAAACCAAACTCTACAAGAGCTGCACACTCTTTCCTTTTTCTGCAGAGCCCTCTCTCTAACCTGTGCTCCGCTTTATTTAGTCCTAGGGACTCACGCATGCTAGGCAAATACTTTATCAAGTGAGCTACCTCCCCCAGTGTCCATGGATTCTTAATTCTAGAAAAGAAACCAAAAGGAACACATCTTAGTTGAGCAATAAGAGGCAGTAATGAACTGAGTGTCACTGCGTGAAGACAAAGGAATCATTATAACCATTTTGGGGAAATATGAGCCTCCAGATTAACATGTGTGTGCTCATGACAATCATATCCATTCTCTTGGCCTTCTCTGACAGGTGTGGAGTTTGGAGCCCGTATGGTCAACATTGATGGAAAACAAATCAAACTACAAATCTGGGATACGGTAAGAGAAGGCAAAATAATAATAAAAGCTAATGTAGCCATATGTGGTGCTGTACACCTGTAGTTTTAAAATCTAGGATGAGGCCAAAAGCTGAAAGGTCATGCCAGGAGTTGAAAGATCAAGGCAGGTTTAACTCAGGTTTAAAAAATAAAAGTCATATGTTTTTTATTTTAAACGACTCAATTTTGTGGGGCAGTGGTGGTTCACGCCTTTAATCCCAGCACTCAGGAGGCAGAGGCAGGTGGGTCTCTATGAAGTTAAGGCCAGCCTGCTCTACAAAAGCAAGTTCCAGGACAGCTAGGGCTACACAGAAAAACCTTGTCTTGAAACCTCCCCCCTCCCCCAAAAAAGAGACTCAACTAATGCAGTAAAAAATAAAAAACAATAGAAGTTTATGTAACAAAAAAAGTGAATATCCCTTTACATAAGACCCTTTTCTATCTCACACTGTTGCCATTTTGCCAGAGGCATCCACTGTTAATGGTTCAGGGTGTCTATGCTTTCAGACTCCTGTGCATTTAAATTCATTGATAGCCGGGCGGTGGTGGCGCACGCCTTTAATCCCAGCACTCGGGAGGCAGAGGCAGACGGATCTCTGTGAGTTCGAGGCCAGCCTGGTCTACAGAGCGAGTTCCAGGACAGCCTCCAAAACAATACAGAGAAACCCTGTCTCGAAATAAATAGATAAATAAATAAATAAATTCATTAATAATAGACATTTTGCATACCTTTAACACCAGCACTTGGGATACAGAGACAAGCAGACTACATAGTGAGTTCTAGCTCAGCCAAGCTACAGAGACCTGTCTAAATAAAACAAATGAATATAAATAAGTACAAGTATATGGTTGAGTGTTTCCAAAGACTTTTTAAAACTTCTTCATTACTCGTGTGTGTGTGTGTGTGTGTGTGTGTGTGTGTGTGTGTGTGTGTGTGTGTGTGTATGTGTGTGTATGGCAGTGTATGCATGCGGCCTGGTGCGTGTGGGAGCGGGGCCACTGCTTCGTGGAGTGCTGTGTTTCCACCGTTTCGCCAGGCCGGCATGACAAGCGCTGTGCTCACTGAACCGTCTTACCAGCCCGAGATTTTTGTCTTCATTAGTGTTTACATGTGTAGAATTGGGACGAGAGTAGACATAACTGTGCCTTCTCTGTGGTCGCTTCCATATGTCCGAGACTTGCCAGTATCAGTGAATACAGATCTGCCTCACTTCATCTAACAGCTGCCTAACTCCAGAAGAGTGTATGCATTGAGACATCAGCATTGCACAGCTTCACTGACCATTCTTACTCATTACAGCTGTGTGCAGATGTCTGAAAATTTCTGTGGGCTCTCTTCCCAGAAATGAAAATTCTAGGGTAAAAGTTGCTTGTGTTTCATTTACTTTTAGGGTTTTTTTTTTTTTTGAGACTTTCTTGTATTTTAAAATTTAAACAATGGAAGACTATCAAAGTTTGGCTTGGCTTAACAGAATTTTGCCTAATTGAGAGAAATTGCTTTTGTGTGCAATATTTCATTTATACTATTCTTTCTTCAAAGGAAAATATTGTAGTCTCTATTCTAGTTAAAAAGAAATAGAAAATAGCTCATAATATTTAGCTAAAATCTCTTGCTGTTTTTGTTAAGTTCTTATTATTTGACCATTTTTCCCTTAGAACTAAGAGCCAAAACCATCATATCTACAAGGCATGTATAAGCTATTTTTCATTTTCTCTTTTTCTTCTATTCTATTATTTTCTTTCTTCTCAGTTCCAACTCCCATCAACCTTGATCACATTGTGGGCCTACACTGTGGGCCATTTTTGGCAAAGCCCTTTTCTGGTAGTCCTCAAGTTTATTGCCACTTTTGGATGCATTATTAATCAGATGCTTTAAACTCAGTATTCTTTTTTTTAAAAGATTTATTTATTATATATACAGTGTTCTGCCAGAAGAGAGCACCAGATTGAATTGTAGATGGTTGTGAGCCACCATGTGGTTGCTGGGAATTGAACTCAGGACCTCTGGAAGAGCAGTCAGTGCTCTTAACCTCTGAGCCATCTCTCCAGCCCTAAACTTAGTATTCTTTATGTCTGTTGACTGTTTCCTTTGAGGTTGTATTTCCTTCTGATCAGATTTTTCATCTCACCCTTTTGGGTTGCCCTAATTATAATATTGTGAATCACTTTATATCTCTCAACAGTGCTTAACTCCAGACAGATAGCAATACTTTAAGACTTGCCTCATTTGGTCAGTTTTTCTTTTTAGCACTCTGCCTCCATAAAACCTAAGAAATACTACTTTATTGTCAACGTTCACTCTCTGTATTTTAGTCAGTTGCCACATACTCCCTTCTTTCCCTGTCTTGAGTTCATTGCCACTATTTACCCCCAACTAGATATTGCAACTCAGGTTTTATTTTCTTCTAATTTTTATATTTCTAATAATGGGAACCCCACCTCCCAAGAGGTCAAGATATAAATTCTTACAAATTAGCAGAGGGTGAAGCCAATGGGTATACAAACCATATAAGTTAGCTCCTACTTCTTTGACTTAAGTTAATGTAATTTAATTTTTTGTTTTTAAAGACAGAACAATAGCCCAGGTAGCTATGTAACTAAGGGTAACCTTGAATTACTTATCCTTCTGCCTCCAAACCCAAAAATTGGAATTACAGGTGTATGCCACCATATCTATATTAAAAAAAATAGATGTTTTAGTGCCAAGAGTAAAATCTAGTAGATGTCAATTAGTATGGTCAGGGTCATTTGCTTGCTAGCTGGCTTTTTCTTTTCTTTTCTTTTCTTTTTTTCTTTTCTTTTTTTTTTTTTTTTTTTTTTTTTGAGACAGGGTTTCTCTCTATAACACTGGCTGTTCTGGAACTCATTCTATAGACCCGCTGACCTTGGCTTTGAACTCATGTCGATCCACCTGCCATTGCCTCCTGAATGGGTTATTTTTTTCTTTTCTTTGTTTTTTGTTTGTCTTTTGGTTTTTCCAGACAGGGTTTCTCTGTATTATTTTTTGGATTTTTGTTTTTTTTTTTTAAGATTTATTTTTCATGTACAGTGTTCTGCCTGCAGGCCAGAAGAGGGCGCCAGATCTCATTATGGATGGTTGTGAGCCACCATGTGGTTCCTGAGGCTTGAACTCAGGCCCTCTGGAAGAGCAACCTGTGCTCTTAACCTCTGAGCCATCTCTACAGCCCACTAGGTTTTGTTTTTGTTTTTGTTTTTTGTTTTCTTAAATGCTGACATGAGAAATGGTTTGGTCATGAAAAAAAGTTTGGAGCCACAATTGTATGTTATGTGGTATCTGGGCATTGGTGGCACATGCCTTTAATCCCAGCACTCAGGAGGCAGAGGCAGGTGGATCTCTGTGAGTTCGAGGCCAGCCTGGTCTACAGAGCGAGTTCCAGGACATCCTCCAAACCAATACAGAGAAACCCTGTCTCGAAAAACCAACCAACCAACAAACAAACGAAACAAAAACTGTATAGCAGGGCTGGAGAGATGGCTCAGTGGTTAATAGCACTAACTGCTCTTGCAAAGGACATGGGTTTAATTCTTGGCATTCATTGGCAGCTCACAAACTATCTGTAACTCTAGTTCCAGGGAATCTGGCACCCTCAAACAGACATCTATGCAGGCAAAACACCAGTGTGCATGAAATAAAAAGAAATAAATTATTAAAAAATAAAAATAAAAGAGCTTCATGGCAAGCTTGGCATGGTGATGCATGCATCCCAGCACTCAGGAGACAGAGGCAGGTGGGTCCCTGAGAATTCAAGGTCAGCCTGGTCTACAGAGAGGTGCAGGCTAGCCAACACAGTGACACAAAAACAAAAACCAGCAAACAGAAAACCCCACCACCAACAAAACAGAAAACCCCACCACCAACAAAACAGCAAACCCCACCACCAACAAAACAGAAAACCCCACCACCAACAAAACAGAAAACCCCACCACCAACAAAACAGAAAACCCCACCACCAACAAAACAGAAAACCCCACCACCAGCAAACAGAAAACCCCACCACCAACAAACAGCAACAACAAGACAGTACCTGACTTATAGCTGATAGTTCAAACTATATATCTTACTCTCTCTTGGGAGAAATTAAAAAGCTGTAAATTCTCTTCATCAAAGATCCATGTTCCACTTAATGGGATGGCTTGCCTACAGCTGTTTCTTACTTATGGCTCTATTGCCGTGAGAAGACATCATGACCAAGGCGATTCTTATGAAGAAATTGGGGGCTTGCTTACAGTTGTAGAGGCTTGTTCAGTGATCTTCATAGTGGGGAGCAGACGGGCAAGACACTGAGGCACTAGCTGAGAGTTTTACATCCTGATCTGCAGGCTGCCTTGAAAAACCAAAAAGAAAAAAAAAGTAAGAGATAAGAGCAAAACAGGACCCCCAAAGAGCTAGGGTGTACAGTGACAGAGTAAATATCAAATTCTACGTAGCTTTAGTGGACAAAAGTGCCTTTCAAATCTTAAAGGTGTTTCCAGAATTTCCAGTAAAGACTAAGGAATTGTATGATGCCTTCAGAGGCTGTGTTTCTGGGGAGACAATCACTATAAGTTAACAGACTCTGTTCTCACATTTGCGCCCCAACTTAGATTGTAATGCTTCTGTGCTATAGAGTGTCAGTGTTCTGTGTTGGTATTACAGCTCTGCGGTGTGGGTTTTGCCAGTTCTTTAACTTGCCTCTCTGAGCATTATTTTCCTCATTTTCAAAGGAGAACAATAGCACTCTGCTTTAGGAGTACTAGGAGAATCATATGAGATGATGTATGTGGTTCCTAATACACTGCTAGGCAAAAAAAAATAGTTTAAAATGTTATGGTAGGGGCGGGAGATGGCTCAGAGGTTAAGAGCACTTGAAGCTCTTGCAGAGGATCTGGGTTCAGTTCCCAGGACCCACATGGGGGTTCACATCAATCCATTGCCCGTTCCAGGGGTTCCAGTGCCGCCTTCTGACCACCATAGGTACCAGACATGCACATGGTGTAAGGCAAAACACTTATACACGTAGAAGGAAATAAACTTCAAAGGAAAATTTAATGTTATCAGTACTATTACCAGTTGGTTGTATACTATAAAACCCCATTTATGTTCACGTTTCCAGCATAGATTTCTAGTGATAGAATGTGGATAATAACTTTTATTTCAGAGTTTTTTTTGTTTTTTTTTTTTGTTTGTTTTTCGAGACAGGGTTTCTCTGTGACTTTGGAGGCTGTCCTGGAACTCACTTTGTAGACCAGGCTGGCATCGAACTCACAGAGATCCGCCTGCCTCTGCCTCCCGAGTGCTGGGACTAAAAGCGTGCGCCACCAACGCCCGCCTTATTTCAGAGTTTTATGAGGCGAAATTATTCCAAAAATGTGAAAACTTTAATAACAGGATTGATTCAACACAAAGTATTTTGTGTGGTACGTTGGTTTGCTGTGTTTTTGAGACAGGGTCTTACTATGTAGCCCAACCTAGCCTCAAACTCAGGGCTCTTTTGCTTCAGTCTCCTTCATACTCAGATGCAGGATGAGGAGTATTAGTGTTAGAGACAGACACCAGAGTGAGTTCCAGAACAGCCTCCAAAGCCACAGAGAAACCCTGCCTCAGGGAAAAGAAAGAGAGAAAGGAAGGAGGGAGGGAGGGAGGGGCGGAGGGAGGGAGGGAGGGAAGGAGGGAGGGAAGGAGGGAAGGAGGGAGGGAAGGAAGGAAAGAGAGAGGGAGGGAGGAAGAGAGGGAGGGAAGGAGGGAAGAGGCACCAGCCATGAGGCTGCTTCTATTTATGTGTGTGTTATGTGCTCACACTGGCCATGAGGGGGCGTTGGGTCCTTTAGAACTGAAGTTACAGGTGTTTGTGCACTGCCCAGTGTGGGTCTAGGGTCTGAACTTCATCATCTGATAGAGCAGTAAGCATTCTTTATCCCTGAACCATCTCTCCAGCCCAGTGTTTTTATTTAAATGACACTTGTGGTTCACTTAAGCAAAAATAAAATAAAGGAACCATTAGGCTAAGAAAACAAAAGTATCGGTCTGGAGACGTGGCTCAGAGGTTAAGAGCACTGACTGTTCTTCCAGAGGTCCTGAGTTCAATTCCCAGCAACCACATGGTGGCTCACAACCATCTGTAATGAGATCTGGTGCCCTCTTCTGGCCTGTAAGCATGCATGCAGATAGAACATAGAACACATAATAAATAAATCTTTTTTTTTTTTTTGGTTTAAAGAAGTATCTAGAGCATGGGAGGAATTAATTGCTTAGTTATAAATAAGGCAATATTTTGATCCCATCAGACATAAGATTTTTTTTCAGACATAAGATTATGAACAGGATTCTTTTTATTTGTTTTTGTTTTTCAAGACAGGATTTCTCTGTGTAGCAGTCCTAAATGTCCTGCAAATTTCTCTGTAGACAAGGCTAGTCTCAAACTCACAGAGATCCATCTGCTTCTGCCTCCAAGTGCTGGAATTAAAGGCATGCGCCACCACCATGCAGCTGGCTAAACAAGAATCTTTTAAGGAAAACTATCCTAGATCCTGGATATCATTCCCTATTCCTCTTTTGTTTGTTTGGTTTGGTTTTTGTTTTTCCAGACAGCGTTTCTCTGTGGCATTGGAGGCTGTCCTGGAACTCGCTCTTGTAGACCAGGCTGGTCTCAAACTCACAGAGATCCGCCTGCCTCTGCCTCCAAGTGCTGGGACCAAAGGCGTGCGCCACCACTGCCCGGCTCATTCTCTATTCCTTATTCCTTATTCCTATTTTCCTTTTCTTTTTTGTTTGGTTTTTGGTTTTTCGAGACAGGGTTTCTCTGTATTGTTTTGGAGGCTGTCCTGGAACTCGTTCTGTAGACCAGGCTGGCCTCGAACTCACAGAGATCCACCTGTCTCTGCCTCCCGAGTGCTGGGATTAAAGGCGTGTGCCACCACCGCCCGGCAATGGACCCTCTCTTAAGGAGTAGTAATTGGCCTGCCCGAAATCTCAATCACATGCTTATTGAAAACTAGCCCACCTGGACTCCTCCCTGGACAGGAATGTTTCTTTCCCCTAATTTATTATGATTTCTTAATCTAGCACAGGTTTTTTCTTTAGTTAAATTCTTTGTTTTAGGGTGGCATGTGAGCAATTCACTTTCTCTGGAAATAACCTGGTTTTACTGGGATTTTTTGTTGCCATGTTGATGGTAAAGGCTGGGCAAGAGTCCTTCCGTTCTATCACCCGTTCCTACTACAGGGGAGCAGCTGGAGCACTGCTGGTGTACGACATCACAAGGTGAGTGAGGGCTGGGGTGGGGCCGGCTGCCTGACTTCCCTCAAGCTGCCCTCTATCTGTGGCTCCTGCCAAGGAATTAGAGTAGGGATGGCTATTTTTTTTTTGCACGCGTTTCTTCCCTTCTCAAGTATTTGGAGCAACTTTGGCTTATTGAAACAGGCTCCTGACCACCATTCTAAATTGTTCCGCTGTAGACGTGAAACCTTCAACCACCTGACCTCATGGTTAGAGGATGCCCGCCAGCACTCGAGCTCAAACATGGTCATAATGCTGATCGGAAACAAGAGGTAATGTTTGACCTTCATCAAACTTTCTCTGTGCATATGGGATTTCTTTGTCTTCTATTTCGTTTTGTTTTGATTTAGAGACAGGGTCTCTCCAAAGTAGTGTGGGATGGCCTAGAACTCACTTTGTAGCCCAGACTGGCCAAAAACTGCCACTTTCCTGCCTTTACCTCTCAGAGGCCGGGACTGTAGGCATGTGTTATCTGCTTGACACTGAGTTTCTTTTTTTTTCTTTTTTGGTTTTTCGAGACAGGGTTTCTCTGTGGCTTTGGAGGCTGTTCTGGAACTCACTCTGTAGACCAGGCTGGCCTTGAGCTCACAGAAATCCGCCTGCCTCTGCCTCCCGAGTGCTGGGATTAAAGGCGTGCACCACCACCGCCCGGCCGACACTGAGTTTCTTGATACCCAGACTTCACTATATCATCTTAGTAAGAAAATGTTACTATGGTAAGATATTCATAAAATTTACCATTTTAACCACTTCTAAGATATTCTGTGGCCCTAAACATATTAGAATTGTTCTGCAAACCTCACCATTATCCATCTTCAGAACTTGGCCATTTTCTCAGACTTTGGAACCATCGATTTCTGTCGTCTTCCTTTCTCTTGGTGTCTTCCTCACCATCCGACAACCATTCTACTTTCTTTTGTTGTTGTTGAAACAGGGCCTGTGTAGCTTAGGCTGGCCTCAGTCTCACTAGCTAGCTTAGACCTGAGGGCTGGGATTACAGGGCTGCGCCTTCACACCCAGCCTCTGCATTCTTTCTTTATAAATGCATGATGTGAAAGACATAAAGGATAAATAAATTAAGAATAAACAAATAAATACAGGTATTCTAGGCACCTCATAAGTAGAATTACACAATACTTGTGCTTTTGTAGGTGGCTTATTTCATCTAGCGTAATGTCTTCAGGCGCTGTCCATGTTATACCATGTATCAGAACTTCCTGTTTCAGGATCCTAGCATTTATTATGACCACATTTCTTCTACCTGTCTTTCTGTGGACACCTGAGCTGCTGCCACTTTTTGGCTCTTGTGACTGATGTTGTCATCAACATGGGAAAAAAGATATATCTGTTCAAATTCCTACTTTGGGTTCTTTTGGCTATGTAACCAATAAGATTGCTGGACCACTTGATAACTCTGTTTAAATTTTGAGGAACAACCACTGTCGCAGGACCATTTTGTATTCCTACCAAGAATACACAAGGGTTCCACTTTACATTTTTGGCAAGCCTTTGTATTCCTAATTTAAATTTTTTTAATTTAATTTTTTTTAGTTTTAAAATATAATTTTAAAAATTGCATCCATAGGCCAAAAGAAATACCTGGCTGAGTTAGATCTAAGCCAGGTGTAAGTGCATTTCTATTTGCACTGTGAGACAGAGACTCACAAGTTTGGGCTATATAGCAAGTTCTAGGCCAGCCTAGCCTATATATCAGAAGCCTATCTGGAAAATTAGATGAGAGGCAGTGAGATGGTTTGGTGGGTGGAGATGCCTGCCACCAACCGCCAACCATGACAACCTGGGTTCAGTCCCTGGGCCCCAGAAGGTAAAACTAGAGGGTTGTCCTATTACCTCCATGCATACACTATGGTGTGACTGTACCCCACACACAGACACACAAACACATAAATAAATTGATAAATAAATATAGTAAAAAAAAATCAGAGCCAGGCAATGATAGTGCATACCTTTAATCCCAGGAGGCAGAAACAGGCGAATCTTTGAGTTCGAGGTCAGCCTGGTCTACAGAGTGAGTTCCAAGACAGCCAGAACAGGCTCCAGAGCTACACAGAGCAAACCTATCTCAAAAAAGCAAACAAACAAAGAAATAATAAAAACTGATGAACCAGGCATCATCATGTAATCATAAAATCTGAGAAGTGCAGGTAGGTGGATCAGATTTGAAAACTATCTTGGGTTATACAGAGAGATGGAGAGTCACCTGGACTAGATGAGCCCTAAAACAGGCTGGAGAGATGGCTCAGGGGTTAAGAACTCTTGTTCTGCCCAAGGACCTGAGTTCCATTCCCAATACCCATGTACGGTGTCTCACCATTGCCTGTGACTCCAGCTTCAGGGGATGTTATACCTTCTTCTGGCCTCCACAGGTACCCAAACACAAATGGTATAAATACACACAATTTTCTTAAAATCTTTAAAAATGAGATAGATCTAAATAACATATTTTGACACTTGCTGCCAAGGCCAAAGGCATTATATAATGACTTAAAGTTTGCTCTCTGATCATACATAGTAGAAAGAAAGAAACAAGTTTCCCACATGTTGCCTTTGACCTCTACATATGTGGCATCTCATATGTATACACACACAGGTAAACACATACACACATAATAAATAAATAAAATATATTGAAAATGACATACTTCAACTCACAGACCCTAGTCTGACAGCTGGGGAACCAGCATAGGACCGAACCAGGCCCCCTGAATGTGGGTGTCAGTTGGGGGGCCTGAGCAGGCTGTGGGGCCATAGAAGGATACTCTCTCAGCCTAGAAACACGGGGTGGGGGGAGCGGTGCTAGGCCCTGCCCCAAATGATTTGACAGACTTTGATGATTCCCCAATGGGAAGTCTCACTCTCCCTGAGGAGTGGATGGGGTGGGGTGGGGGAAATGGGAGGATGGGAGGGAGAGGGAACTAGGATTGGTATGTAAAATAAGATAGTCTTTGATTTATATAAATTTTTAAAAAATATTTTATTTATTATGTATACAATCTTCTGCCTGCATGCCAGCAGAGGGCACCAAAGCTCATTCAAGGTGGTTGTGAGCCACCATGTGGTTGCTGGGAATTGAACTCAGGACCTTTGGAAGAACAGTCAGTATTCTTAACTGCTGAGCCATCTCTCTAGCCCTTATATAAAAATTTTAAAAAAGAAAATAACATTTCTTTGAAGACAGAACTTCAGGTGTTGCAGGCTAGCCTTGAACACACTGTGTAGCTGTGTAGCTGAGGGTAAATTTGATCTTCTAATCCTTCTGCTTTTATCTTTAGTGCTAGGATTGAGCCCAGTTCTTTCTGCATACTAGTCAAGAATTCTACCAACTGAGCTACATTTGGGCTCCTAAATAATGATACCTGTTTGGAAAGTTGTAAGATAATTTTTAAAAATGTGTTTATATTTCCTTTTACAAAAAAGTTCATTCTTAGCCGAGTTTTGATGGCACATGCCTTTAATCCCAGCACTCAGGAGACAGAGGCAGACAGATCTCTGTCAGTTCGAGACCAGCCTGGTCTATCAGAGCGAGTTCCAAGACAGACTCTAAAGCCACAGAGAAAACCCTGTCTCAAAAAAAACAAAAAATTACATTCTTACTTGGTGGTGATAACGATGCATACCCTAACCCCGCATTCGGGAGACAGAGACAAGTGGGTCTCTGAATTAAAAGCCAGCCTAGTCTACAGAGAGAGTTCCCGGACAGCCAAGGCTACATAAAGAAAAACAGAAACAGACCAAGCGCAAAATTCTGTTTTTAAATACAGCAGTTGCTACTTACCTGCATATCTGTTTCTTTTAGGCATGGTAAAGCATGGGAGTCAGCAATCGATTCTTCCACTCTCGTTTCCTGCTACATATTGATTTTGAAAATTATTATTACTATTATCATTATATTTTTGGCCTGGTATTTGCTCTGTAGACCAAAATGCCCTAGAACTCCCAGAGATCTACCTGTATCTGCTTCCTGAGTGCTGGAATTAATGGCATGTGCCACCACACCCAGCTTTATTTTCAGCTTTAAAACAGGATCTCAGTGTAGCCCAGACTGGCTTTAAGTCACAATCCTTCTGTGTTGGGCCCCCAAGTGCTAGGATTGCAGATGTTTGAACACTTTGTCTTTTTGTCTTGTGCCATTTATGGAGTGTGGAAGCCAGGACAGTTGCAAAGGAATAGGAGTCAGAAGCTGTGTAAAGTTTGGGGTACCTCTTGCTGATTTAATGTTCTTTAGTGGATGTACTGGCTAGTTTTATGTCAACTTGACACAAGCTAGTGCATCGATTCTCAGCCTGTGGGTCATGACCCCTTGGGCAAACCTTTGTTCCAAAAATATTTATAGTTTCATAACAATAGCAAAATTACAGTTATGAAGTAGCAGTGAGAATAATTTTATGGTTGGGGGCAGTCACCGCATCATGAGGAACTGTTTTAAAGTGTTGTGACATTAGGATGTTATGAACCACTGATCGAGAGTTATCAGGGAAGAGGGAGCCTCAGTCGATTTAGTGGCTCTGTAAGGCTGCACCGCAGGCAAGCCTATAGGTCATTTTCCTAATCAGTGACTGATGGGGGCCTATTGTGAGTGAGGCCACCCCTGGACTGGTGGTTCTGGATTCTGTAAGAAAACAGGATGAAAAGCCGTAGGGAGCAAGCCAGTAAGCAGCACCCCTCCTCGGCGTTTGCCTCAGCTCCTGTCTCCAGGTTCCTGCCCTGCTTCCTTTGATGATAAACTGTGATATGGAAACATTAACTGAATAATCCCTTTCCTCACCACATGGCTTTTGGTCATGGTATTTCATCACAATAGTAATTCTTTGTTTTTTGTTTTTTAAGACAGGATTTTTCTGTGAAACAGTTCTGGCTGTCCTGGAACTCACAGAGATCCGCCTGCCTCTGCCTCCTGAGTGCTAGGATTAAAAGACATGTGCCACCACCGCCTGGCTCAATAGTAATCTTTTTTTTTTTTTTTTTTTTTTTTTTTTTTGGTTTTTCGAGACAGGGTTTCTCTGTGGCTTTGGAGGCTGTCCTGGAACTCACTTTGTAGACCAGGCTGGCCTCGAACTCACAGAGATCCGCCTGCCTCTGCCTCCCGAGTGCTGGGACTAAAGGCGTGCGCCACCAACGCCCGGCTCAATAGTAATTCTAACTAACACCATGAACTTCTTATTTTTTTCATGGCTAGAGAACTAGACTCTCTCAGACAAAATTTCCCATTTGAAAATCAAAAGCCATGTCCGTCTTACTGTTTTCACCAGCTTCTTATTCTAGTTTTCATGCCTTTCCATGCTACTTTTCTCCATTTCTGGTTTTGGCCCCATTTCACCTAAATTATATCCTTATCACTTTCTCTAATTCTCAAGTGCTAAGTCTCTTATACACACTAGAAATGAGACCAGTAAGAGTTAAGGTGACTGCTCTCCTTATTCCTGGCTCAGTCTCTCCTAGTTCATTCTAGGGAAAGAAAGCGCCATCACTATGCCATGAGAAGTCCGTAGATTTGAGCCTTCTACTAAATAGCACCTCCCTTTACCTAGATCCCACCTGAAAAGTCACAGGGTAGCAGCCAGGAGTGGGAGGGGTCCCAAACACCCATTACTCAGGAGGCAGAGGCAGGCGGATCTCTGAGTTCCAGGCCAGCCTGGTCTACAGAGTGAGTTCCAGGACAGCCTCCAAAACAATACAGGGAAACCCTGTCTCAAAACAAAAATCAAAACAGCTGGGCAGTGGTGGGTGGCACACGCCTGTAATCTCAGTGCTTGGGAGACAGAAGCAGGCCTGTTCCAGGACAGGCTCCAAAGCTACACAGAGAAACCCTGTCTTGAAAAACAAAACAAAACAACAAAACTCAAAACCCAAACAAAAGGCATAGGGTACCCGGAGTGAATGAGGTTGGCTCACTTCTTTACAAGCCTGTTTTTTGTAACAGTGTTATCTCCAGCCCTCAAGAAGCTATTATGAATGTGAATCATAGAAGTCAATAGGCCTACACAAGATTATCCTGCCGTGTTTACACCTTTCGAGCATTAGTTGGCAGTTTTAAAATGTGATGGGATCCTTTTAGAACTGTGGCCACCCCCTCTTAAATCTTTAAATTTTCTCCCTAATTACTCTCTTACAGTGATCTAGAGTCCCGAAGGGATGTGAGAAGGGAGGAGGGAGAGGCCTTTGCTCGGGAGCACGGCCTTGTGTTCATGGAGACCTCAGCCAAGACAGCCTGCAATGTTGAAGAGGTACCATTGCAGAGAAAGGGGGGCGGCTCGGAGGTCGTACTGCTGCTGTGTTCTTCGGACTCCTCCTGGGGGGCAGGGGACAGGAGTAAACAAAGAGTGTGCTGTGGTCAGAGTGGCTGGATGTCTCTTTCTAGGGGAATTGTCTCATTTCCTTTACCCGAATTCCTAAGGGTTTATTTTTGCCTTGGATAACATTATTGAGGATTAGATACCACTGTTATTTAAATCACTTCAGCCGGGAATCTGACAGAAACTGTCCTCATTGTGATGCCAGGTGTTGACTGTATTGCCTGGCTGAGTGTATTTGTTTTATTTGCAATGGCTGTCAATCTACAACCTAGGAACATCAGTACCTGAATACAGTAAGATTACTTTTTTACAACTGTACTCAATGTGTTTTATTGTGGTGATGATGGTGGCCTTGTTTCTTTAGATATGGTCATACTATACAGCCCAAACTACTCCAAAACTTGCTGTGTAGCTCAAGCTGGCCTCAAGTTTGCAATCCTCCTCCTGCTTTAGTCTCATATTGGAATGACAGGTGCATACCACTATATCTAGTCAATGGCTTTTTTTTTTTAAGATTTATTTATTGCCGGGTGTTGGCGGCACATGCCTTTAATCCCAGCACTCGGAAGGCAGAGGCAGGCGGATCTCTGTGAGTTCGAGGCCAGCCTAGTCTACAGAGAGAGTTCCAGGACAGCCTGCAAAGCCATACAGAGAAACCCTGTCTCGAGAAACCAAAAAAAAAGGGGGGGGGAGATTTATTTATTTATTATGTATACAGTGTTCTGCCTGCATATATTCCTGCAGGTCAGAAGAAGGCACCAGATCTCATTACAGATGGTTGTGAGCCACCATGTGGTTGCTGGGATTCTAACTCAAGACTTCTGGAAGAGCAGCCAGTGCTCTTAACCTCTGAGCCATCTCTCCAGCCTTAGTCAATGGCTTTTTCAAGGATATTTGTGGAAAATATCCTTTTTTGTTTGTTTTTGAAACAGGGTTTCTCTGTGTGCCCCTAGATGTTCTGCAACACTCTGTAGGCCAGGGCTAGCCTCAAACTCAGAGATATGCCTGCCTCTGCCTATTGGGTGCTGGGATTAAAGGTGTGTGCCACCATACCCTAGCTGAGTTTGGTTTTTTTTGGGGGGTGGTTTAAGACAGGATCTATATAACCTTGGCTGGCCTAGAACTTGCTATGTAGACCAGACTGGCCTCAAAATCCTAGAGATCCACCTGCCTTCTGCCTTCATAGTGCTAGGATTAAAAGAGTACACCACCACCATGCCTTGCTGAAATTTTTGTATTCCTCCTTTCTAGTGTTTCTTAATTATTCTAAGGTTTGAGATAGAGTGTCTCTGAGTAGCTCTGACTGATCTGGATCTTACTGTGTAGACCAGGTTAGCCTCAGACTGGTGTGTATTTCTCTCATCTCTCTACTTAAATTGAAGAGTGACAAATGATTTGTGTCTCCCTCAGGCCTTCATTAACACAGCCAAAGAAATATATAGGAAGATCCAGCAAGGCTTATTTGATGTCCACAATGAGGTGAGAAGGGTTGGGGTTGGACTGGCAGTTACCTTGATAGAAGCTCCCTATCATGTCAGCATTCCTGCCTGATGCCACACTAATCACAACTGCCAATTCAAACTTTCTTTTTCAGTGCAGGTGTCTAAGAACCCATCGTCAGTTTCTGGTTTTCTCTCAAGTCTGAGCCCCATAATGCTGACAGAGATAAGCTATCGGTCCACAGACTTTTTTTTTTTAAAGATTTATTTATTTATTATGTATTCAGTGTTCTGTCTGCATGTATGCCTGCAGGCCAGAAGAGGGCACCAGATCTAATTACAGATGGTTGTGAGCCACCATGTGGTTGCTGGGAATTGAACTCAGGACCTCTGGAAGAGCAGTCAGTGCTCTTAACCTCTGAGCCATCTCTCCAGCCTGCTGTCCACAGACATAGATAATAGGAGTTTTTTTTCTTCTTGACTTCAGTCTCTTGCTATTCCAGAATATGAGAGAGAGAGAATTCTTAATTTCTTAGGAGGGAAAACTCTGGGATAGATTAAAAAAAAATCATATGCTAATACGCCACTTCTATTTATTCTTTGCTTCACTTACTCTTTAAATAAGTGTTTTTGGCACATGTATGCCATATGTGATGGGCACATAAATATACGCATGTTCACATGTATGGAGCCCTAAGACAACAGGTACTTTCGACATCACTTCTCACTTTACATATTGAGGCAGGGCTTCTCTCCGAGCCCAGAGCTCTCTATTTAGACTAGTCTGGTTAGCCAGTTTGCTATAGGGCTGCCCTACCTCTGCCTCCCAAGGCCTGGGATGGAAAGTGCAATGCCATGCCCATTTGGCTCTTGGATGGTTTCCAAGCACCTAGACTGTGGCCCTCAGGCTTACCTGGCAAGTTCTTTCCCTGCTCAGCTGTCTCCTCAGTCCCCTTAGTTCTCCTCATCTTGCACAGTCACATCTTAATTCTGCACATAGCTATAAAATGTATGTGCAGCGGTGCACCTTGAAGACCAGCACAAAGCCGCCTCTACTCACAACCCAGTCATTCTTCCACAGACGTTTGGCTAGAGAAGGTTCTTAGAATTTAACTATTCCTTTATTCCTGTCCTTCCCGTCACTCACTTCATCGCTGATGTAGGAATCATCCCCTTTTGTTTTGCAGGCAAATGGCATCAAGATTGGGCCCCAACAGTCAATTTCAACATCAATGGGGCCAAATTCATCTCAGCGGAACTCTTGTGATGTAGGCTCTGACTCTGGCTGCTGCTGAACATCTGGCCTGAACTCTTTTTTTTCTTTCCCCTCCTGGAACAGCTTCAGATCAATCAGCTTAAAGAAAGAGGTCTTACTTGCTTTGGCTGAGAGCAGCCTCTTTTCAGTGTGCACTGCTTGACCCTTCACTTAAAACACCAGGAGAATCCGGGCCCTTACTAACCTGTCTGCCATTAGGGACATGAGCATCCCATGTAGATCAGGGCTCTGAATTCTAAGATGTTAGGATCAAAGTTGATTGTCACAGTAATTAAAAAATAAACAACTTACTAAGTATCCACATCTGTTTGTTAGGTATGGTGGCACATACCTGTAATTCCAGCACTCAGGATTTTTGACAGGAGGATCACCAGGAGCTTTGAAGTCAGTCTGGGCTACATAAGTATTACCATGCCATCCATGGCTATATAATATGATCTTGACTCAAAAGGCCAAAAAGAAAAAAGAAAGAAAAAAAAATACATACATCTGTTCCTCACCTAATTTTTAGTAGCTAGAGTGAAGGATGTTCTGACTGAACATTTAGGACTAAGAATCTGGATAACTTGGATGATATCTCTGTACATAGTAATTTATCTCCTTGTCTTCGAAACCTGCTTGTCATTTCATAGGAGTTCCTATAGAAGCTGGCTGCGTCTGTACTGTCTCATTCCTGGTTTCTTGTTATTTATTGTGTGCATATATACCCTTAAATATCACTCCTCTGGAGCCCACCACATTGGTTTGTGAGAGAACATCTCTCACAGGAACCTGGAGCTGCATGATAAGTGAGGCTAGCTGCCCTTTCTCATTGCCAGTTCCTGTGTCTTAACCACGGAACTTTGAGAGCAGCAGAACTGGTACTGGACCTGTAGCCGCATCTCTTACCTAAGAAAATATTCATTTTTCGTTTTGTGTCGGGGACCAGTTCTAGCATTACAGTTTCTTTCACCAAATTGATCTCTACTGCCTCAGTTTTTGTCTTGGCTTGTGAGTGAGTGTGTATATCTGAGTGTGTGTATGGGGGGGGTTAGAGAGCTAGAGATCACATCTAGGTTTTTTTGGTTTTTGTTTTTTTTCCGAGACAGGGTTTCTCTGTGGCTTTGGAGGCTGTCCTGGAACTGGCTCTTGTAGACCAGGCTTGTCTCAAACTCACAGAGATCCACCTGCCTCTGCCTCTATATCTAGGTTCTTAAACATGTTAGGTAAGTGCTGTACCACTGAGCTATACCCTCAGGAGCCTTCTCTTTTACTTTTTGTTTTGAGGCAAGTTGCCTAAGCTAGCCTTGAACTTGCAGGCCTTAAACTTGGAATCCTGATGTCTCAGATTTCCAGGTGACTAGGCATACTCCTAACCAGATCTATTAGACTTTTACTCTAATCAAGCTAATTGTCTTACTGAATATGACATATTTATTCCAACTTCTATACCTTTGCACATGTTCTACCCTCTAACATAGTAGTTTTTTTGTTTTGTTTTGTTTTGTTTTCTTGTAGGAAATCCTCATTGAGAACCTAGGGAGTTCTAAGAAGTTATTAACACAGTATCTCTTAGCATTCCTATCTTGGTTATTCACATGTGTATTCATTTATATGGGTTTTACTTTGTAAATATATTTTGTAGGGTTCTTCTGTGTGTGTGTGTGGGTGGGTGGGTGTCTGTCTCATATAGGATGTAAGCTCTATGAGAGCAGGGTCTATGTCATTTCCAATCCATCACAGCATTCTTTACTGTACCCTGTGCAACCCATGATCTTGAATTTGAATGACATGATTTAAAACTTAAGGCCTTCGAGCCACGTCTTTGTAATTGCATCTCAGTTCCCCATCTGCTTGTCCTGGGTCTCTATTGCTCCTCTCTCCTGCTTCACTGTAACTTACTGCCCTCCCCTCTGTGCAGCAGACAGTAAGAACGCCTGCTATCAAGATTCAAATCCGTAGATGCTCCTTAGAACATATGCTGTTTCAGCCCAGTTTGCCGCTGCTTCGCCCATCAGACCACTTGCTGGGACAGTGGCTGTCTCTTTCTTTCACAGCACTGAGCTCTCACCAACTTTTCTAAATTGTATTGTTAATGACTGTTTTACTATTAAATATATGCATGATCCAAGCTGCTTGTATTTCATGTGTCATTTCTGAGTCTACTCTAAGTGTAAGTAGATAATATCCTCCTAGGGTATTGTATCAAAGATACCTCCTTCTTAGAATTGGCTTATACCGAATTCTACCCCTGGTAGTAGCAGTAAAATCAGCATTATATCACAGGAACTTAGAAGAAGACGTGGGTATTGAAGTGATTATACTTTTGGTATTTTGCTTTTTTACCCTATTTATTCCGTTGCATTTAGCCTGTTTCCTTACCAGACACAGAACTAAAGTCTATAATTTAGTACTTTTTTTCCATTCCCCCCTTCTTTTCTCTCTCCTCTTCTTTTTAAATTAAACTTTGTAGCTCAGGCTGCCCTAGAACACCCGGTCCTCCTGTATTAGCCTCCTGAGTCCTGAATGTGCCAACACGTCCTCAGTGTTGTAGTTTTTCTTTTTTGGGAGGGGTGTTTCAAGAGAGGGTTTCTCTGTGACTTTGGAGGTTGTCCTGGAATTAGCTCTTGTAGACCAGGCTGTTCTCCAACTCACAGAGATCCCCCTGCCTCTGTCTCCCAAGTGCCAAGATTAAAGGCATGTGCAACCACCACCCGGTAATGTAGTTTCTATTGAAAAGTTTTTCTTTACTGATCAATTTTTTTTTAACAATTCACAAGGATTAGAGAATTGGCCGAAGACAGTGTTTTGCCTACAGCTGTAATTCTCAGTGCGATGAAAGGGAACCATTCTGATATTGTTAGGCCATTAGGAAAGGGGGGGAAAACTTAATTCCCACATCCAATTCTATTGTATTTTATAACTGTCTATGGGAGGTATTTTTGCTCTTTTGAAAGGAAACAGAAAAGAATGTGGCTATAAATTCATGACCTGAGTCAAATGGTCAGGAATGAATTCAGAAACGTCTTCCTCCCGCATGTGCTGAATGGTAATTATGAGACATTCTGGGTGTCAGTTGGCTTTTGAAACCAAGAACACTGGAAATCATGTAATTTATAGCAACAAATCAGTATAATTAGCAGAAATCATTGGATCAGATACTTTCCCCCTTTTCATGAAGCTTATAATGACTTCCTTTGTTGGCGGGTCTTGTATTCTACACCAGAAAATAACTAGGCCCTTATTATGAAACCATTATTAAGATTATACCTCTCTGCACTTGCACAAACACTATTTACACAAACACTATTACACAATCATTCTCATAAATTCTAATACCTCAGATGTATACACTAGTATTTAGAACTAGGAAAGAATTTAGCAAAAGATATTCAGTATACAGAATTAGTGATCAAGTCTTATTTGACCTAAAATACTACATGATTTTTGTTTTTGCTTTTGTTGTTGTTGTTGTTTTGGTTTGTTTTTTTGAGACATGGTTTCTCTGTATAGTCTTGGTTGTCCTTGAACTGGCTCTGTAGACCAGGCTGCCCTCAAACTCACAAAAATCTACCTGCCTCTGCCTACTGAGTACTGGGATTAAAGGTGTGCACCACCTCTGCCAGGCCTTGACGTGATTTCTTAACTGTGTGCCCATGTTACTGTTTGGAAAATTCCTTTAATAATTGAAAAGACTGGGAGAGATGACTCAGCGGTTGACCAGAGTTCAGTTCCCTCACCTGTCACACATGTTGGGTGGCTCATAGCCCCCTGTAACTCTAGCTCCAAGGGAATCCCACACCTCTGCCCTCTGCAGCACCAGCGCTCATGCACATGCATACACACATAATTAAAAATATAATAGAAATGAATACTTTTTGGGGGGGAGGGAGGGTTCGAGGCAGGGTTTCTCTGTGGCTTTGGAGGCTGTCCTGGAACTCACTTGGTAGTCCAGGCTGGTCTCGAACTCACAGAGATCCGCCTGCCTCTGCCTCCCCAGTGCTGGGATTAAAGGCATGCGCCACCAACGCCCGGCTCGCTAAATACCTTTTTTAAAGCAAGTTTTGTAGGTCCTGTCATATAGCCTAAGCACCTTGGAGCTTTCCAATACTGGTATTTAAACAAACAACCCCCCTCACCAAAAAAAAAAAAAAATGTGTGGAAATGTAGTTGGCAGAACTTTAGAAAATATAAGAATGCCTTTCGCAGTTCAGTTTCATCTATGACGAAATATTGCTGCTTTCCAGACTTTTTTGCCCTGTGTGTATTCTTGAATAGTTTGGAACTATCGGTGAACTTAATTAAGGTCTTTGGGTTTTGGTATTTGTGTGTTGATTTGGTTTTTTTTGAGACAGGGTTTTTCTTTGTAGCCTAGAACTCACTTTGTAAACCAGACTGGCCTCGAACTCACCTAACTGCCTCTGTCTCCCAAGTGCTGGGATTAAAGGCGTGCCCCACCACCTCCTGGTTTAGGTCTTTTTTTTTTTTTAAGGTTTATTTATTATGTATAGTATTCTTCCTGCATGCACGCCAGAAGAGGGCACCAGATCTCATTATAAATGGTTGTGAGCCACCACGTGGTTGCTGGGAATTGAACTCAGGACCTCTGGAAGAGCAGCCCGGTCTTTTTTTTTTTTTTTTTTTTTTAAGTGGAATTCCTGACCATTATTATTTCTAAATGACTAAGCATTTTGTGTTGCTAAAATCAGAGCAGGGGGCCGTGGCTTGGTGGCGCATATCTTAAATTCCAGTACTCAGCAGGAAGAGGCGGACAGATCTCTGGTTTTGAGGCCCCCCTGGTCTACATAGCAAGTTCCAGACCAGTCAGAAAAATACATCAAGACCTTGTCTGAAAAAAAAAAAAAACAACACGGAAAATCTGTAACGGATGCACAGATAAGCTTGTAGAATATAACCTGTGTCTGTTGATAACCCTGCTTATAAAGGATTACCCCAGGGATTGGTCACAGATGGGTCATTCGAAAACCTTGATTGTGGGCTTGTCCGATAAAACAGCATCATTCCTACATTTAAGTGGGGGCACGGTCGGGCCTGCTTCCACTCACTTCCAACACGATACCCAGAGTTCCTCACCCAGACACGTGAAGGGGGAGGATGTTGGGGCTGGACCAGAACGGACCAACAGACTCCCAAAGGAGCTCAAAAGTAACTGTAGACGTCCTCGGAGCCAGCCGACCCAAGATGTCCTCCCGAGACAGGTAGCAGGTGCCGGGCTGGTTTGGAGCGCCCCCAGTGGCTGGGGTCAGAGGCCGGTCCGCCAGCCTATCTCCGGCTCTGCCTATTTCCAATCAGGCATATCTGCGGTTGCCTACGTACCCTTCTCGGCCTCAGGCCCGCCCACTCTCCAGAGACTTCCTGGATGGCTCCCCGTTCCGGCCCTACCATTGGTGGATGGAGGACGGCGGGCGGGCCCAAGGGCATGGAGGACTAGCAAGCTTGCTTGCGGCGAGGGCTGGCCGTGCTCCGCCGGAAGGCGCCTTGTTCTCCCGGACGGTGGGTTGCAACTCCGCCGGGGGAAGGAAGCAAGCTGCGGGACTGACTCAGGTAAGCCTGCGGCACGCGCGCCTCCACCAAGCCTCGGCGGAGCCTGCGCCGGTAGTGGGTGGGGTAGCCCGTCCTCGCTCGCACCCAGGCGGGTGCACTTGTGAGCGATCAGGTGCGGGGATGCTCGGAACCGACCCACTCTCCTTTGTGAGAGGCCGGCGCTGGGGACGGTGCGGGCCGCGGGGACGTGCTGGGACCGGCCGCGAGGGAGCTGCTGGGGCCGCCGTGGAGTTTTGGAGCGTGTCATTGCTCTGCTGGGCGAGGCGCGCATTCGAGGCAGCTGCCTTGTTCTTCCTCCTCCTCCCCAGGAAGAAAAACTCCCCTGCTCGGCTTGGTTACTCCATACTTTGGACTCAGAAGTGTGTGGCTAGGGTTTTATTTTGCCTGGCTGCTTTATTTTCTCTCTGTCTCCCCCCATCTTTTCTGTGTTTTAAAATGTGGGTAGGAGAGCATGGGATGAGGGTGTGGAGGTTTCTTATGTGCCCGATTGCTGTGGGGCTGTCCCAAAGCAGAGGTGGTGGGGGGACACAGCTCAAGCCTTGAGTCTTCTTTGACAGGTCTGCAGGTTTTCCGACACGTTATGTAAACTCTTCATTAAGAGAGGACCCCCTCCCCCCCTGTCTCTTAGCGAGTAGTTTTGTTTTGCTTTTTAATTCACCTGTCTCTGGTGTCTCAAAAAAAAAAAATGTGCCTGCCATTTGCTGCAGCTGTGCATACGCAGCGGCCCCTTTTTAAGGGGCCGACGTTAAAGGCTTCCCAGAAGAGGTATGTAGTGGACCAGTCTGCAGTGAGCGAGCAAAGTGAGCCAGAAGTCGGCTGTTAAATACTACGGAATTTTCTTTTAAAGGTAGACATAATGAAACATCTCAGACGCAAGCGAGAGGGAGCTGTTTTATCAATGTCCGCTGTCTCCTGTGGTCGCACCTGATCTCCGTCTTACTGACTTATCCTAGTGTCAGACAGGCTGAGGTCCTTTCGGAGGCACATCAGATACTAAAAAATAAGCTTGTGATTTGGATGCTTCTTCCCTCCCGTTTTGAAACAGGGTTTCTGGCTGTCCTGGAACTCGTTTTGTATACCAGGCTGGCCTCGAACTTGGAAAGATCCTGCTGCCTCTGCCTTCCCAATACTAGGATTAAAGGTGTGCACCACTGGACGTGACTGGGATAGTGTCTTCTTTTTTTTTTTTTTTTCTGGCTTATATTGGAAGACAAGGCAGTGCTCTTTTTGGTTTTTCGAGACAGGGTTTCTCTGTAGCTTTGGAGGCTGTCCTGTAACTCACTTTGTAGACCAGGCTGGCCTCGAACTCACAGAGATCCGCCTGCCTCTGCCTCCCGAGTGCTGGGATTAAAGGCGTGCGGAGTCAGTGCTCTTAACCATGAGCCATGTCTCCAACCTGATATTGTCTTCTTAGTTACAGAAGATCTTCTGTCTAGAAATTTCTTTTTATGGTCACCCAACAGTTTCCACAACAAGAATTGGGCAACCTGTTTTTTGTTAGTTTTTTCCTTGGGTGACATGTCCTTTAGTAATGCTGGCCACTTCTGGGGGGGACTCTGAGATAAG